TGTATTTTAGGATAGTGAAAACTATATTATAGATATCTTAAAAGCAAATAATGACTAGACAGAAAAAATTTAAAGATATCTTGAATTGTAATTTTGACTATTCGAATTTCCTTTTAAGATATCTCCAAATGAATTAAAGATATCTTGAATTATTCAGCTTTTCCATTAAAGATATCTTAAATTGACATTCTGACTAGTCAAACGTGTAATGATCTTTTTAATAAGCTTCCAGGAGGATCATTCCTAAAAAAGTTTAAGCCACAGGAGGAAAAGTTAAATCAGCGTGTTACGCTTTAAATGACAAATCCGGTGTCGTAATTTGAGATATCTTGAAAGGAATTTTGACTAGTCAAAATGTAATTTAAGATATCTCGAATTATTATTCTTCCAAATCAGAATGCAAATACAGATGTCTTAAATTGCCATTCCAGATAGTCAAAATGTGGTTTTGTCTAGTCAAAATGTATTTTTAGATATCTGGAACGTAATTATGGATGGTAAGACAAAACCTAATTTATGTTAAAACGGCTTGCCATATTTTACCAGGTCATACAGTCAAATTGATTCAAAGTTTTCTATCTAAGGAAAACCAGTTGATTGCATCGACTCATTGACTCGAAAGCAATCCCTCACGCTAATGATGCTTGTAGCGACAGTGGAGAGGAAAAACTCCCTTTTAACTGGAAGAAACCTCCAATTGAAGCAGCCTTATGCATCTAGCTCCCTTGTTATCTGTTAGCCCCACACTATTTCTTTCAAGCTGCCAAGAGGTCCAGTTTAAATCATGAGAAGCTGTAGAGAGCCACAGCTCATGTGAGAGAATGAGCTATAAAAGGTGGCAAATAGGTGCAAACACTCTGATAAATACCTAAAACGTGATGCAAACAAAAAAATAAAGCGGTCAAACAGAAATAAATTGATGATGCTAACATACAAGAAACATGCTGCAAATAAGCTCCTCACGACAGAGCAGATCAACACCACAAGGGTGAGTCCACCTTCAGGTCATATTGGAGCACACCCTGAGTAATGGTGCTCTCACACCTCGACAATTCAGACAGCGTATGCCTGACGTCCCAGAATCTACTAAAACGCTGGAATACGCTGAACTTTCTATGTATTTTTTTCAATTTTGAGCGTATACTGTACATAGAGTTTTCATAATGAGTCCAGAACTTATGTAGGCAGCGTATGCAGCGGCATGCCCATTAAATGATAAAGTTCAAAATAGAAAAAAAATAAATAAATAAAACTGTGGATTTAAACTAGGGAAGGAAATCTTTAGGAGCAGTTTCTGAACAACTAAAGATCCAGGTTTACCAGATCCAACTACTCCTTATCAGTACATGTCCAATTCGGTCTAGAAATCTTCCTCAAGTCGAGGAAATTTGGTAAGAATTTGATTAGAAAAGCTTCAACTTTATTACCATCTGCCCTGTCACAAATGCAAGGCAACAACATACTGATTACATCTAACCAAATCTACATTAGCTGTGCTAATATAAAGAGATATTTACAGAGCAGAGCATGCATTTAATCAAAAGTGTTTTTAAATATGCAATAACTTTGACTATATGTATGTGCATGCTTTGACCAACAGTTTTAAATGTTTGGATGTTAAGGAACAAACCAGAAAACAATCAAAGCTAGACCCTATAGTTAACATAAAACATCCAATGTCACCGTTTATGGTGTATATATATATATATATATATATATATATATATATATATATATATATATATATATATATATATATATATATATATAATGCATCGCCTAAAAAGGTTTCATGGTCAGAAGAGACAAAGATAGTCTTTTGTTACAATGACTGCACTGACTATAAAGGCATGGTGGTGGGTGAATCATGCATAGGGGTTCTTTCTGTTGCAATGAAATAATGCTACCGATTCATCTAACTTTACTTTTGTTTGAAAGTTTTTGAAAGATTAAGTCATTAAACCCCCACCCCCCCATGTATGAACTAGAATCTACCTGCATCTGTCAACAATAAGCACATCTGTGCACCATGGCCACACCACAACTCACCACTAGAAGCTCACAGCCCACTTTTAACAGGTTAAATGGAGGGCAGAGATTAAAAGAACAACAAAGGAAGGTTCATGTGAATAAATTCTTTTCCTTTGTACACATTTTTGTTCTATTCTCACTTTTACTCAAAAGGGAAAGTCAAGATTTTCTGGAATGTGCATCTGTTACAAAGCTACACGGTCAATATCTTACCTGCATCGTCACTTTCATTATAGTGAAGATGCAGTGAAGGTTAGTCGCCTGGCTTACAGATCATCCAAATTATTAAAAAAATCTGGTTTTAAAATTATTCCACGCATAAAAATTTCAAAGTGGTTAAATGGAGGATTTTTTTAAATGTATTTTTACTCCACAGAGCTGGTCTGCAGCTCATCACAAGACTCTTCTAAAATGTTTAAAATAAAACTGAAACTATGGCAGTTTATTGTAACTATCTGATTAAATGGGAGAATTAAGTGGAGTTTAATTAATCTGGATTGTTTGTAGCTACCTTTAGCAACAAAGGGGCAACGTTTTGGAATCTGAATAATGACTAATAGCTCAATCTAGTTGCAATTATTGCTTAAAATATTTAGATTTTAGAAATAAATGAACAACATAAATGTATTCCAATACCTAATTAAATACTACTTACAATACAGTGTATGGGGTGGGATAAGAGATACGAATATCTGAGGCTGAAGAAATTTTAGAATATTAGCAAATATAATCTTAAAAAAAGTTGGAGTTAACGAACATACATAAAACCATTTTTAAGATCTTTCAGTTTAAATTGTTGATTTCAAAGAGGAAATTTTAAAAGTTGGTCAACGTACCTAATGTTCACAATTGAAACCAGAGATTTGTATATAATCTGCTTTAAAAAAAGTAAACTTCTTTCAATGTCTGATATTAAAACTGACAAATTTTAGGGATGCACAGATTTATCTTTCTGTTAAAAATCCCAAAAAAGGGGGAGAATAGAATATATATGTAAGGTTTTTTTTTATTATTTTTTTTACCGCTCTCAAATATAAAAGTCTGCAAGCGTTTGGAGTACAAAATGCACCCTAAATTCCACAGTGTTAAATATGCAGTTTCAAAGTACATTGACTCTTTCAGAGTTATTACAACAACAACTGGAGTAGGATATACATGATGTAGAGAGTTAATTTAACACTAATTCAGAATGCAACCAAATACACTCTGATCAATGTTAAATTTAACACTTAAAGTGTTACTTTAACACTGCAAAATATAGTATGTGGAAGCTCACACAACTGATGTATTGATTTAGTGAAATCTTTTGCTCTGAAATCATGCTAACAATAAAAAAAAAAGGAAAAAAAAACTAGATTGTTTACCTGGAAAAAGATTTCCTGTGATTAAGAAGGTAGATGTAATATAATAGGGGTGTGTGCAATCTTAAAACTGTAAGAAAGGTTTTATGTTACAGTGTGGAAAGTACAGGTATAAAACAAAAGGTGTAAACACATAGATCGCATGAAATACAACAATGGGGAAGAGGTATAAGCTCTAGATAATGTTTCAGTCAATTATAGCTGGGTTTAAGGGGAGTGGAGGCCTAGTGGTTAGGGCATAGAGCTTGCAATCCTGAGGTTGTGAGTTCAAAATCCACTGCAACTCTGGGTCTCTAAGCTTCCCCCCCTGATCTCTCCACAGGCGCCCCACGATGGCAGCCCACTGCTCCACAATTGGATGGATTAAATACAGAGGTACATTTCTCCAATGTGAGATCAATAAAGTTAAATTATTATTTTTTTTGCCCATACTTTCTAGAAACATGCATAACATTTCTTTAATATACGTGGGTTTGTTAAGATGTTCTTCGTATGACTGAATATTAAATAAATAAAATCTTAAAATAAAGTTCTTTTCAGATGGTGGGGAAGAAAGTGTTTATGATGTTGATTACATTTGATCTAAATAGTAGTTTTTATGCATTTAACTGTATGGAAGAGGATTTGGGCCATTGGAAAAAAATAAAGTTAACTGATTTTTAAATATTATTTCAGTTTAATATTAAAAAAAAAAGTTAGAATTCTGACTTTAATCTCAGAATTCTGTTTTTTCTTTCCTCAGATTGCTGACTTTAATCTTAGAATTCTGATTTTTTTCCCCTCAGAATTCTGACTTTAATCTCAGAATTCTGTTTTTTCTTTCCTCAGATTGCTGACTTTAATCTTAGAATTCTGATTTTTTTCCCCTCAGAATTCTGACTTTAATCTCAGAATTGTGGATCTTAATGTAGATGGGCACCATGAAGGAAGAGATGTGGGAGCACACAGCTTCACTGACAAAGATGTCAGTTGTTTGAGAGGGCCAGTGACACATTGGTGGAAAATGATGGAATTAGGCGACTTTTTACGTGCCCAATGGGTCCCCGCCTCGGTGATGCTATTTCAATAATAGAAGAGCAGAAGGTCATTAAAACAAGACAGCTAGTTTAGTCTTTAAAACAGACATGGCTATGGCTTGACGCTAACATGATTGTTAGCTGTCAGAATTCAGTCAGAATTGAAAAGCAAGTCAGAATTCCGAGAAACAATTCAGAATTCCGAGATCAAAGTCAGAATTCCGAGGAAAAAAAAGTCAGAATTCTGAGATTAAAGTCAGAATTCTGAGATTAAAGTCAGAATTCTAAAATCAAAGTCAGAATTCTGAAATTAAACTCAGAATTCTGAGATTAAAGTCAGAATTCTGAGAAAAAACACTGAAATAAAATTTAAAAATCATTTAACTTTTTAATTTTTTCAGTGGCCCTAATCCTCTTCCGTATAACTGGGTTATTTAAGCAACATTAAACATTTTTATAAGATAAAATACCCAAAGAAATAACTAAAGAAATGAAGAAAAACCACAAGGGAAGTGCTATCTGATATAAAAACTAAGCTGAGATAAGGCTGTCTCTGTATGCTGACTGTGGTGTTGATAAAGTTTTTGAAATACCTCTGCGGGGCAGCAATGGCGGCTCCCATCACCTGGAGGAGGTTGGTGCATTCGGTGTACTCCCCGGCCATTGCCGGGGTTTTCAGCCGGATATCTGACCGACTGTTCCGCGCTCAGGAAAGACGAAGAGGGTAAGAATCACCGTTGACTGTTTCGGACCGGAACACGGGACTAAAACTGAGTTTATCCGACTGGACCGTGCTGCCTGTTAGCATTCCTAGCTAACGAGCATGGATCCATCATCGGACACACGCTTAATACAGTAATAACTTTGCTTTAACTGAGTCTAAACGATTCTGTTTCGCAGTACCTTCTTGTTTAACTTTGTGTTAGCAAGATAACCTGCATATAATTAGACGGAAACGCCAATAAGAGAAGTCATAAAACCCCTGCTAACCTTGACTGAACGAGTTACCGTAAACTGGTTGAGGCAGTCGTTATTCTTAAGCATCGCCCATCAATTTACAGAAAGCACACACCTCTTCTACTTCACGGCTATTAAAGCACACACCTCTTCTACTTCACAGCTATTAAAGCACACACCTCTTCTACTTCACAGCTATTAAAGCACACACCTCTTCTACTTCACAGCTATTATGCAATGATGTTTTCTGCCAAGTCCGTCCCATGAACGACCCAACAACCATCAGCGCACATTTAGCAGGTGTTCTGACCTTTTATAAAGACACACCCCAGTTTTAAGTTGGTCACTTATTGACAGACAATAGTTTTCAAACTTCTCAAAAAGTTTAACACTCCTTCAACCTTTTCACGTTTTTCTTTTTTACTTTAGCACCAAAAATCTGCATTTTTTTTTTGCTTGTCTAAACCAACACAAAGCTTGCCTATCATAGGTAAATTAAGGGGAAATGTAATGTGGTTTGTAACATTTTGCACCAGTAAAAAACATAGAAAGACAGGTGCCCGGTGTTTATGTCATTTTAGGAGCTTTCAGCAGTGACAGGTTAGACTTGGGAAGATAGACTGAGCTTAATACAGGGAGGATAATCTGATCTGTTTCCAGCAATTGGAGTGATCATTTCAATGTTATCCTGTATTCTGATTTGAAATCTGAACTTTTGTTTCTAAACCACTCAGGTTCATAAAATCCAGCTCTGCCATGCAGCATTTAAACTGGCAAGTGGCAGATGTGGAGCTTGTCACCTGGCAGGCGGATTGCTGGCGATACATCAAGCGAGCGTTGATTATGCAGAAGACCTGGCCGTATCATGTTCAGTTTATAACCCACTATTAGAGTTCATGTTCCAGTATAACTGTGATTTTAAACATGGAGCTAGAGCTAATGTGGAATGGCCTGGATAAAATTATATTCTTCTAATAGAATGGCCTAGTCAAAGTCCACACTTGGATCTGATTTCTGCTCCGTGGGAAAAGAAAAAAAACTGATGTTCTGCAAAATTGACAAAAATATTTTGGAAAGATGAACATATGAAAAATGTCAAGCTGTTTAGTATCCTTAGCTTAACTAGAAGAATTTTAGTTTTTTTGAGAAATAAATTGTGTCAGTCGTGCATGAACATCATGTTTTATCATTTGGTTAAGTGAACCGTCAAGGAAGTATAAATTCAGTTTCATTTATATAGCAGTAACTGACAACACCAGTCATCTAAAGGCACTTTTCACAGACTGTTCATTCAGACAATACAGTCAGATTGGTAAAAAGATTTCTACTGAAGGAAAACCATGTGATTGCATAGGATCATTGCCTTTGCTCCTCCTGGATGAGCGTGTGGCAACAGCAGATATTTTCTTGCATTTTGTCATCCCCTTTTTAACAATACCTTATACCCAGCATGCATGCAGTGACAGTGGAGAGGAAAAACTGAGCCAGCAGAACCAGGCGTTTTCATCATTTTCATCAGAACTCTTTAAGACACAGGTTGTGGGTCATTGGTGTTGTGTAATGTTTATCAGTGGAGCTGGTACTGCCCCCCGGGGGGCATGTAGAGAACGAAGCTAGCAGCAATATTTGTAAAAGAGGTGAACTGCGGTTCTTTTTGATTTGATTGCTTGAAGGTAGACTTCACCTTAAATCTGCATAGCTATACCAGTTTAAACGTCGATCTACTTGTTAGAAACTGAAGCATTAACATGAATGGCACTTTAACTGCATCAGTCGTAACTCTTCTTCCCCATGTGTGTCAGCTGGTCTACACAGTTCATGCTGCAATCAGGACTACAGATGTTGGAATATATTTATAATTTCACCCAGATGTCAACTTCTGGGTAAAGTCTGGAAAATGTATGTTGTTTTTTCTTAGTATTACTGAGTTGTTAGACATTTGCAAGAAGAATATTTTATTGTCAGACTTCCTCCGAAAGCGTCCAGATGCACAGTAAAACAATTCTCAATACAGGTTGAGCTCAAACCTATATTAAAATAAAATATTCTAAAACCAGACAGCTATAGCCTGACTAGTAGATCACAGCTGGCGTTACACCAGCTTGATGTCAGCTGATGCTGCTGCGGCTTTTTTTTCTCTGCAGCTTTATTGGTCTTATTGTGAATTTTAAAGTCTCTTTATAGGCCTATATATTAAAGACAATGTATAATGCTGCGTTCACACCGGGGGCAGCAAAAGCAGCAAAATCGCGTCTGCTGCTTCCTTTTTGCTGCTTGTACCAGTGAATTCTGACGCGCGTCTGAAGCAGCTTTGCTGCTCTCGCTGCGCGGTGCAAAAGTGGCTCTGACGCGCGTTGGGCGGAGCTTCACTATCCTTTCTCTGCCTTGCAGCTATATTTGCTGTGATCAGTGGGAATAAAGTAGTTTTAATATGTTTTTAAGTGAGAAAATACACCTGAAAACTTCATCAGTGCAGTCAGTTCATCCAGATTACAATCCTGTCTCCCAATGTTATTTCTGTCGGAGCCGCTCAGACCCCCACATACCGGCGGTACGCCGACAGAAGGAATCCATTCATCAGCAGCCTCTGGCCGGGTCGCCTCCTCGCGGTTTACCCCGGTGGCTGGTAGGTGTTTTTCATCTAAATAATCCGATCTGCAGGCACCAGAATAATAAAAGCGAAAACATATTCTGCCGGCAGATGTATGCATTTTAAGTTAATTATGCTTTAATAAACTGTTTAAGAGAAGTGATCAGAGCAGTCTGTGTCAGCGCTGTGTCTCTCTCCCAGCCAGCTCCCAGATCAGCTTCTCTGATTGGTTGACGCGGCGCGTCGAGCAGCAAAAATTAAATTTTTCCATCTCGAGCAGCAGCGCGTTTGCGGCGCGTCACGCGCGTCAGACGCCAAAACGCGCCCGACGCGCTGCTTCAGCTGCTCAGACGCGCTGCGCTTGCTGCTCAAAACGCGCCGCGGGACCTTTTGCTGCGCCTTGACGCGCGTCAACCATTGACTTTGCATGTAAGCTCGCTGCTTCTGTCGCGCCAGCTGCCCCCGGTGTGAACGCAGCATAAGAACAAAACAAGAAACACAAAATATGTTTATTTCACCCAAAAGGGCAAAAAAACAACAACTTTGAACTAAACTCCATAAAAACAAAATCCATATTCTGACATATTGTTGATTAAAAAATACACCTTTGTGTGCATTCTCTAAACCCAATGTAGTTAAGTATAAACATTAATATTTTATTTGATTTGAGAAATATTTTTAAGAAAACGAAACTCTTGTTTTCTGAAGCAGATAAGTTCAAGTGTTTATTTTGTTTTATAATTGTTATCTTGTACCTTGTTGGAATAGTTATAAATAAAGTTTTGCATATCCGATTGGCTGCTAATTAATCAACATGTAGGTTTTTCGATTGCCAGCATTTTCTGATTTGCTGCTTTTTGGGATAAAGTTTAAATTGAAACTTTTCTGATTGGCTGATGTTAGGCCTACTTAACCTGAGGCTGAATGTCACATTAAGTCTGTAAATGTAGTTTTTGTTTACATGGCTTTTTTTTGTCCCCTGGCAAACAAATTAATATTTGCCATTCAGCGATGCGCTTTTTTAAAATTAAATTACAGAAATGACAATCATAAAAATAGCTTCTATACTAAAAACTAAAATAATTTCATTAAAAAAAACCCATCAAAATTAAATTGAGTGGAAGTAGACATCTTTTCTTGAAGGAGATGGGAAGGAACCTGGATGATGAATAGGAGGTTTTGTAGGTCTTAGCACTGCAACCTTGTTAATAATAATCTATCCTTTCGGAAAAGTTTCTTAAAGAAATGTATATATTTTTTAAGGGGAACCTGAAGTTTAAGGTGATTACTACCCTGTGTTGCCAAAATTATTTGCTGACCCAGTGGTCCATCAGGTGTTCTCAACAACTTTCAGCATAATCCACCTGTGCAACAAGTTCAGACATAAAAAGTTCCTCTCTCCTGGTATTGTAACACGTTGGGAGCGATTGGTAACCACGGCAACTCGTCTGCTGAGGGAGACAGCATATGCTAAATATGAGATTATTTCACAAACTTTGTGCAGGGTGAATCCCTACAGACCTCCAAATGTCATCCAGCATTTAGATTAAATCAGAGACAGAAACAAAAAGCAAGTGTGATGCAAAGGCATCAGATGTGTAAAGCACACCGCCACTGGACTCTAGAGCAGTAACAGCACATTGTCTGATTGCTGAATCATGCTTCTCCGTACGCTGATCTGATTGACAGTCTAGGTCTGACGGTTATTAGGAGAATAATTGCCTGACAGCATGTTGCCAAGTGTAAGTGCTCACTTTATTTCTTAGTCCGGTAACTAAGGCAGTTTTGTCGTAAAGCCAAAAACAATGAAGTGGAAAATCAACTTATCTTATCTTAGGGCTGTTCCAAAGATAAGGTTGCAGGAAGTAAATATTTCCCCCCTTACCAATTGCTTCACATCTAATATTTCACATTACTTTACACTCTTTTTATTAAGAGACTCTCAGTTAATACTTAATTTACTGTATTTTGTAATGTATTTGTATATAATCTAGTTTGTAAATCAATTATTTATTTAGGGGAAAGAAAATGAACTAATTAAACCTGACTATTGGGCAAATAATAATCCTCCAATCATAACTGATGGGGATTAACCCTGATCTTAAGTGTCATTACCTCCTGACCCATTGAAACATGAATAGCTTAAATTAAATCAGACTGACAGACTGAAATAGGCTAAAATATTAAAAAAAACTACTTTTTGGTTTAGTTAGAAAAACAACTGATTTGGAACGTCTTTGACCTACATTAGTCTGGACTGGGTTACAGAGCTTTAGACTCAACTAAGCACTGGCGCTTTTGATTGCCATCTTAGATTTAGTCTTAGTTTTTGTCTTTAGGATGAAAATTATTATTAGTTTAAATCACATTTTAGGCATTACTATATGTGATAGTTTTAGTCGCTTTTAGTCGACTACAATTTAAAAACATTTTAGTCTATTTTTGTCAGTTTTATGTTGCAAGTTATAAAACGGCTGACAATTTTAAATAAAAACTTGATTCAAGAAGAATCAAGAATCTATTCTTGATTCTCTAAAAAAAAAATATAAATTAATGCCCTACTTTATAGAAAATTTTCTCTCAAAAGTTGTGAAAATAGCAGATCTAATTCATCACATATTATTGTTAATATAGCAGACAGACAAGCTTACAAAATTTATAATAAAAGAATGGTTTTAGACATACAAGTTTTCCATTCAAAAGCAAGCATTTCCTAATCTACTATGAATTATGCATTACACAGAGATCAATCAATTCTTCATTAATCCAAAAAAGCAAAGAACAAAAACATTATTAGTAGTAGAGTTAAATTCACAGGGGTCTGATATAAAAAGATACACAGAGAACTTATATAATTGTCTTATAATGCCATGGCAATCTGGAACTACATTTCAAATTCTTAACTAAAATGTTGAAATATTCAAATGGATAGAAATAAGAACTATGAGAGATAAATCTAAAAAGTTCTATGCACCTTTTGACCTGGGTCTTTATGCAAAAATAAACAGAATGCAATTAGATATTTGGTTTGGATATAATTTAGGGATTCTTTTGGTAGAAATTAAAGAAGGTTTTGCATCACCTCTTATGAGCTGGAAGAAATAAAATCTTAATAGTTAGACCAAAGGATTTTTTTCGCTTGGCAGAAGATGATCAGCCACATATAGTTTATTAAGTAGCGAGAGCAGGAAGAGCCATACTGCTGAGAGCGAACCATCAGTGTGGAGCATAAAGCGCAGACTCTGAGCTACGTGCATGCAAAGATGCATTTCTGCACAGCAGCGCTGCACGCCAGGTGGGCAGGTTAAACAAACAGGACGCCGCAGAAAACTGATACTGCTTAGCAGATTACAGCACATTGATTTTAAACGTCTGACAGACCCGCTAACATTTTTATTTTGGTCTCGCCCCGTCAACGGAAACTCACACCCATGACTCGTCATGTTTTCGTCATTAAAGATCCATGTTTAACTCGTTAATTCTTGTTATCGTTATGAAAAAAGGAGCATCAATGTAATAATTTTGTCATTTTGACAAAATCAACACTGCAACTAAGCGACATTAAAAGCCGTTACCCACAAACAGTGAAAATGAAATGTTGGTGAAAATCCTCATCCTGGCTGTTTTGACGAAATTACTAAAATTGCATCTTTGATTCATCCAGTAGATCTCAAAAGAACCAGAGAACATCTGAAGCACTGGATGCCTCACTAATCCGGTTTAGGTCAAGTTTTTTTCCTTTGTTTTTTTTTGTTTTTTTTGACTCAAGATAAACATTAACAACCATGTTGCAACCGATCTTGGACACCTGATGGGGGGGAAAAACCTTATGCCTCCAAATTCTTTGCTGTGGTTTATATTTAATCAGGTTATCCTTGTTTAATGTTAAAGTTATTTTTTATGTATTTTTTTTATATATCTTTACAGCACTGTGTCTCATGATCATAAGGCAACAGGAAGTTCCAGCTTTCATACAAAATATTTTTAATAGCTGAGAAGCATCAACGGCTTTTTGTGATTCATGCAGCATTTTTAAACCCTTCACTTCCTCCAACACTCATATTTCCCAAAAGAAAACAGTTGGGCTCTCCGCTTATGACTTTTTAAAATCAGCTCTTTGTTTCATTGTTGAAGTTTCTGCACCTCCTCATATCTCTGATGCTTTTGCATGACAAACCAAGCAGTAGACGAGAGCATCTGCTTTTTGAACAGTAGAAAAGTGAGCAAGAATCCAGCTTTGCTGATTTCTTATCTCAAAGAGTTGTTTGTTCAGCTTAACGATGCACCGGTTTCTAGTATTTGAGTTGACCTAATTTTCCCTTGATCTGCTCGAGGAATTAATAATAGGCAGGTCAAATATAAAAAATAAAATACATTTAAAAAAATGATAGGTTAGGGTGACGTTTCTCAAACTTCTAAGGCTGAGCCCCAATATAATAATTTCCCTGGCTGCTCTTATCGCGCCTCCTTGTGCTTCATTTCCTACCATTCTTTTTTTCTTCCACTTTCTATTAATATCCTAGTATAAAAATTACTCTGAAAACTCAGAACTTTCTGCTGGACAGTCATATTCCTAAGCAGGCCTTCATTAAAAACATTTTTTGACATTATATATGAGCATTAATCCTTAAAATTACCAGGAACAAAATTCTTCCTCCCAACTAATAGAGTATAAAAGTTATATTAACTAAAGGAAGTAATAGAAGGATTTTCCCCTCTTTTTTTTTTTTTTTTTTTAGAGTCATTCGAGGAATCATTTCAGCCAATGCCTGATTACTACAGATATAAATAAAGACAGCCTTTCCAGTTTGCCGAAGCGATAAAAGAAAAACTGTTTAACAAAGGGAGGGTGAAATACATACTTTGATGATGTCAGACCACATGAGATTAAGCCGCTCAGGCTTTACAGAGTTTTTTTTTTTTTTTTTTTTTTTACTCTCATGCTTCTTATCTGCAGAAATGTGGCTCAGCAACATAACAGAGTAAACGGCTCCTTTAAAGGTTAAATTTACCACCTAAAGCGTAACCTTATTGTTACCGGAGGCCATGAGTCTGAATGCAAACTGCTGTCATTACAACGGAAACAAATGAACAGTGTTTATGTGCAGCGTGTATATTTCCTCCTGGGAATAAAATCTGTCTTTACTATCCAATCGTCCTGCTGGTGATAGTAGAGGTCAAAGTCTGCTTGTTTGTCTAACTCATAACACTGCCTTATCTTTTACAACTTACTGAAAGCGGGCTCAAAATCAGCTGCGTACAATGACACTGCCCATACTACGGGCAGGGTGTTCCCTCATTTAATGACTCATCCACTGCTGTAAAAACCAAGGTAATTCACGCAAACTAGGCTGATATAAATTTAGGTTTTAAAGTTTTTATAATTTAAATCACAGCAAACAGGAGCCTGGTTCCGGTTATCCGCTTCCACGAACTGTGTTTTTTCTGTTACTGTTTCTGTACCTGGGTTCCCACATCTGTGATAAAACAAAGAACAGATTAAGTTTTAAGTTTTCAACCAGAATGTTCCACAGATGCAGCATTTTGAACAAGGATCGTATCCTTTCAATGTCAAAAGTATCGTTACCCAAACACTGTATCAGGATACAATACTAATTTGACATCAATCAATCAATCTTTATTGTCAACTACAATTTATATTGCAATCGAAATGTTATCGATACTAAAAAAACAAACAAAAAAACCTTGTTTACATATTATATTTTCGTTATTTGGCCCATTTTGTGATTCTGTTGATTAACCATATTCCATGCTGAGATTGAAAAATAATTATATTATACTAATTATTTATTTTTTCCCCAATTATTGAATATTTTCCTGTATATTAATATTGAGTTTCAAATATTATTATTGTGACAACACAGATCTTTTTTTAAGTTTCTTCTGTGTTTCTTGTTTTATTCAATCTTGCAGTTTATTAGATAAATTCAGTGTCAGACAAAGAAATCTGACCAAAAATAAAGTTGTTTTCAAAGCCTTAGTGATTTGTTTCCAAATTTCAAAGGAATTTCAATCTAGCTCTTATAAGAAACCAGCCTTTTAGTCCAATTTAAATCTGTACTTTGAATCGGCGACTCTAGAACCTCCATAGAAAATGGTTTTCTAGTGTGGATAGGATACATTTAAATCCAATATAATATCGCTTTATGTCATGAATTGACAACCAGATATTCCCTTTCAGAATATTCTGCTAGAGAGCAGATTTAGTGGTGCAATCATCAGTGGTTCCATTGAACATGACTGTGGTTTCAGACTCAGTTCTTTATTTTGACACATATTTATAGTAAGTTTTGTCTTGTTCTCCAGGAGTTTCAACAAATTTGTTAACGGGCCTCTATGCTATGGAGGACCAATCCTAGCATAAATACAAATAAATTAACAAATGACTCCTGAATACATTCCATTTGCAAAATAATAGCTTGAAATTTAAATTGGCGAGCTATTAAATGAAACAAACTGATAAAAATTAAGAGATATATTTAAAAATGGATAAATACTTGCATATGAATATGTATTTTTTATTTTTCCTTTCTTTTTTTATCTCTGAACTTATATTCTTTATTTAGACAATGAATATTCAGTCATATGTTTTTTTATTCATTTATTACAAGTACATTTGTTGCTATAATGTCAAATCTATTATAACCCTGCTATTATTATGCAAATGGATATATTACTAAGTCATTTATTTATTTATTTATTTTTAATTATGGCAGAATTGATCTTCTGTGAATGAAAACTTACCTAAACAAGGCTACCTGTATAAAAACAAAACAAATATTTATCAATAATAATAATTTAAGATCTTACGTTGAAACAGAGAAAATGTTTTTCCTTCAGCCATAACTGCACAGAGGTTGAAACAAAGCAAACTATGAAAACTTTAAATAGGTTGAAAGCTTAAAGAAGAGAGGAAAACATTGATTATGCTTCTGTTTGTGCTTTCTGCAGGTCAGCTGTGCTGCTGCTGGCTCCGCTGCTTGCTCAAGCCGAGCCAGCTCCACGCCATGTTTCCAGGCCCACCGGATCAGCCGGAGCTCAGGGCTCTGATGGCCTTTGCACACACTTCCATTGGATGGCGGAGCAAGTACCTGCTTTTCGTGTGCCGGGGGCCCACATCAAGATCCTGACGTCACCAGACCAGTTTTACCAGGCAATGAAGGTTTGGCTCAACTGTTCACAGCTGCTGTTTTTTTAAATAGCACTGAATTTTTTTTCTTTTTTTAATCTTCACTAGGAATTGTGAAATCTTTCAGATAACCATTTATTGTCTCCACATTTTTTTGCTATCTATTCTAAGGAAACCAAAACATCAAGAGAAATCCTAACATTCTGATTCTGTGATTATTGATTCAAGGTCTTTGCTCACACATTTAAAACATACTAACAATGGGTTCAAAAAATCCACAGTGTTTATATAGAAATGTAAAGAAAACTTTGCTTCCTGAAAAACAAGGAGAAGCAAAGGAGGATATAGCATCTAAATCTTTATCTAAGCGTTCCAATTGTCCTTGCAGGCTTTTGTAGGAGGGTGGTCATTTGGTGAGAAGCATTGCTAGTGCATTACAAGCGTGCAGACACACACTTTAATACTTTTGAGAGTTATTTTTTTAGACTTTGCACGGGGAGAACATGTAAAACTCCATGCAGAAAAAATCCAATACTATTTAAAAAAATGTAGAAGTACTCTACCAATCCTAGTGGCAAATTAAACGTACCGGTAAGTCAAATCGTCCAGATCTCCTCAGAGACATCATCATTAATGGTTTTTTTCCATGTGCACAAAGAATGCTCTCTTGATCTATGTATGCAAAAATCTACTTATAGATGTCTTGTTGTCTATTTTATTTATTTCTTAAATACCCTTGGATTTTTGTTTTGACAAGTTTCAAAACCACTAATTTGGAGACAAATAGAGGGCATTTGCAACTGAACACATTAGGGCTGGGTATTTTCGCCAAAGTCCTGAATCGATTTGATTTTGATTCATACAGTTCAAAATTGATTAATTTCGATTCGATTTGTTTTTACAATAATGAAAGTGGTTCAACTGTTTTCCAAAATACACTATTTTTTCCTGTCATATTAAACACAAAGTGCAAACTGGTAAATCGGACAGTTTAAACCTGAGATGTGAACAAAACTGTCTCATAAGTGCAAAGTTGTTTGTGAAAAGTGAAAAAGTGAAGTCTCACTCGAGCAAGCAGACGTGACACAGCAGACATGCATGAGCTGCATTATCTTCACTGCACAAACCATATTTGCAGCGTTGTCTGTAACAACTACAGGGTGTTTGCTGGTCAGCCCCCATTTGTTAATGTCTTCAGTCAACCTATTGGCTATATTTGCAGCTGTCTGGCTTGAAGTCATCTTGAGTGCATCTTTCCTTCTCATTTAAATGTGAACGTCACGAATCTTAAAACTAATCTACATCAATTTTGCAAAAATGTAAAGGAATCGATTCAAAATCGATTAAATTGATTTTTTTACCCAGCCCTAGAACACACAGAAGGTTTCACATCTCTGGAAACTGCTGGACCTGATGGTCATGCTTGTGTATATTAATAGTTACGTTTGCAAAAATAAAAAGGAGCAAACTGCGTAGCTTTGCAGCGTTTATTTTTATAGCTTCACATCTTTTATGTCTTTTATCTGGATAATCTTATTTCAAAGGATGTGATGCACTGATGTTATTACTTAACTTTGCATTATGCAGAAGTTTACATTTTTAGCTGCAAAATCCTCTGGTAAAAGCTATGAAAGACTACGAAACATCCTGGTAAGAAAAAAAAAGTATGTTACCAACCACTTGTACCAGTAATTCATGAGTGTAATTTACAGTCCAGCCACTCCCAGGTACCAGTTAGGAATATGTGGGTTTCAGCTGAACGTCGCATAGTCGTCATGTTTTTATTTCCCTTTGGCACGACAGACAAATTGCTCTTTTGTAACAACGTCACCAGCTTGTTTGTTGTCGGTTAGCCGGAACAATTTCTGTGGTTAAAAACTGGTTTTGAAGCAGCAGAGCATGTTATTTGATGAATTTAGTAATTTAAGGTTATTTATCTTAAAGATTGTCTCCCAAATCCTTACTTATAAGAGGATATTTACACCTGACATTATCAAATGCTAGGGGCGTACATGACTATAATAATGATTCATTTAGAGATCTAGTTTGTTTGATGTTGTCTTAACATGTCAGTCTTTGTTTTGAGCTCAGTTTTTCTTTGTGCTATTTCCAGTCTTTTTGCTATAATCAGAGCTTTTCCATGCTTATTTTTAGAGCTTCATTTGGGAAAACGGCAACCTGTGAGAGCTGAAGGCTAAAGCAAGAGCTTCTAATACATTACAGATGTTTTAATGCTGGATTATAAAGTAATTAATGATAAACTCTGTTGAGCCAAGTAGGAAATACATTTTAAAATAGATATTTATTAATATCATTAATGTGAATGGCCTAAGGAACCTGTTGCTTCGTCTTGCCAATATTAATCATTGTATATTTTCTATCTCTGCTTCTGTCTCCTTGAACCCCAGTCTGCCTCGGCAGATATCCGCTCACACTGAGCCTGGTTCTGCTGGAGGTTTCTTCCTGTTAAAAGGGAGTTTTTCCTCCCCACTGTCGCTACAAGGGACAGTGAGGGATTGCCTTCGAGTCAATGAGTCGATGCAATCAACTGGTTTTCCTTTGATAGAAAACTTCTGAATAATTTGACTGTATGATGTGGTTCAATTGTAAAGTGCCTTGAGATGACATGTATTATGCACTGGCGCTATATGAATAAACTGAATTGAATCGAAATGATCAAAATAGGGTAAACATGCAAAAATTTAAAATGATTAAGAGCATGATTCTTTTCCTTGCTTTGGCTTAAAGCATGTTAATTTACGCCATCTTTATAAGGCACTAAATTTTAACCCTTTTTTAATTTAACTGTATCCACTCAAACAACCATGTACTGCCGTTATAACTTTGTTAGCTTTAGCATGTGTGCAAACAATAAGAAAAGGGCACCATTTTGAAAATGCTTCTTATCTTGTGATTTAAATCCTTACAATACATTCGTACATCAATCAACAAAAAAATGACCTAACCTCCCACACAATAATCCCAATAATTTAATGTGTTTCAGCATGACGCTAAAGTGGTGCTAGCATGGCGAAACCAGCATCGCTACATTAAATGTAGCGCGCCAACACTAGCGTTTTTTTTTATCCTAGCTCCGCGCTGTATAGATAGAATGCCAATAATGTCCGATTTAAAATGCTATTGTTAAGATAAGCAAGGTTTAAATACCATTGAAATGTAATTTGGTTTTAATGCTTTTTATTTAGTATTTGTTAGCTAGTTTAGTTTTTTGAAAATGCTTCATTTCACTTGAGTTTCTTGCGTTATAATAAAGGCATAAACAAAAACTAAGCACATTCTCTCTTGAAATTTTGTAATTCTTAATTAGTTTTGTAAACTCTTATTACAGTTTCATTTATTGTAAGGCCTATTTTTTTTTATTAATCCAATGAATGAAAATGTTTTTTATATCTAGTTTTCATTGCTTCATCAGTTTTAGGTAATGACCTTGGAGATTAGTATTAAATATAGTATTAGATGCTCTAAAATCTCAATTCACAGTGTATTATTCATAATGCTTAAACCAGAAAGGGATTCTTTATTTTCACTACACAAAATCTAATCTTCCTAACTGTGCTTTTTTTTTTTTTTTTTTTTTTTTTTTTTTTTTTTTATAGCTCTAATGATTATGTGGATAATAAATCCCAATATTAATTGTCCCTGTCTTGGAAGGTCAATAATGGATTAAGATAAAAATAAAGTTGTAGCTTATTTTATCCTCCTCGAAACCATGGGACTGTGATTTCATAATAAATCTCTTTTTTCTTTCCACTTTTTTTTTTAACATAAGTTTTCCTTTCACTAATCTTTTACCAGAAAGGCTTGCATACAGCCCTCTGTAAACTCCCATCTTAGTAATGACCTGTTGTGGCCTATATTTCTGAAGGAGGTTCCCAGGAGGGGAATCTCCTACTAAGAGAGTGTTGGTCGGCCAACTGTCTAGTCAGCAGTCTCCATAATCGTCAAAAATGAACTGAAATAAAGATGCACAATGAATTTATGTCACAGATTATTCTTTACATTTTAATTTCTAAAATGCATAAACTTTCCTACTTAAATCAGTTACTTTTTCAGAATCTATGAAAAATATTCTGCATGTTTTTAATGTTTCTAGTTTTATTCTATAAACCAATTTTTATTGAATCTGTTTATAACCCTGTTAAAAAGTCCTCTGAATAAGGTTTTATGTTTTCCTTAAATGATTTGTGTTTCTTTTCCCCCTAAGGCCCGCATCAGAACCGCACAAAGACGGGTGGTGATGGCTTCCTTGTATCTGGGAACAGGGCAGTTGGAGCAGGAACTGGTGAGGATGAATTTTGTTTCTTAAACGTGCTTCTTTAGTTCAGGGGCAGGTGAGAACAAAGCCATACCAGCACGGGAGCGAGCCAAATGACTGGTCAGAGATGCCAGAAAATATGAGTCAGACTTCTCCTCCAAGAATACCACAATGTTTTCTTCAGAATGAGAAGAGTGTAGCCTAGGCCAGAACTACAAGGAATGACCCCAAAATGCAAGGGTTTATTGGTATGTGAGAGCAGCAGTAACATGTGAGAGCGTGCTGTTTTTCATGCTTGGAAAGTCTAACATAACAACATGAAACCAAAGCAAACCACAGTCTGGACCGGTGCTCCTATTCAGCTGTTTTTCATGTCTCTTTTTTAAATTTAAATGACCAGTAATGTAGAGGAAGGCAGAGGCCAAAATGCTCAATCACACTTAAAATCACTGAGATCAGCTGCTTAACTCTGTAACTCCACAGGATGATGGATGACTAGAAATATGAGTCAAAAAGGTGCAGAGAAGCTGGTCCATTTTGCCTTTAAAGTCTGAGTTTACTTTAAAATGGATGAAACAAATTAAATTAAATCCAGTTTGAAGGTTCAAACCCCCTCTGTGGTCAGGACTGAGGAATGCAAGCTGCAGGTGTTGTTTTAGAATAAGTAGAATACAAACGCTCCAGACGGTCACACCTAAACTGTGTATTTACTTTAGTGGTGGGGCCAGAAAAGAAAAGTAATCCAGTAATTGAAAGAAAGACATGCTTATCTTGTACAGCAAATGTAAAGTTTGTTTAACAAGCTTAACATGATGGTAATTTGTTTTATATTTACAAAAGGATGCATTTGGCCCAGCAGGGAGAGGAACGGAAAAAAGCAGCATTTTCTTTGTTTTGAAATAAATAGTAGTTTTGTAAGTTAGAACTAATAATTTTAATGAGTACATAAATGGATTTCTGAGTTGTTTTGATGTATTTTAATGTCTTTTGCTTCAAACTGAAAAATAAAGAGTTAAAATATTTTAAAATATACAACTGAATTATTTTGAGCTTGATGAAAGTTTGAGGGAAAATCAAAATTCAATTTCAAATGGATACTGGTAACAATTTTACTTGAAGTCAGAAAGCATTTTTAAAATAGACAGAATGCAGCAGAAATGTTTTGTCACCTTTTCAGGTGATTATTGACTCCTTAACTGGGTGCGATGTCTTTGCTGCCGATTTAATTTCTAATATACTGCATTAAAGTTAATTTATTCAGGCTGGACTTTGCTACTTAGTTTTGTTATTGAATAATGAATTCCATATCTGTCTCCCTTTAGGTTGACTGCATGGAGGAAGCTCTCCAACATTCAAAGGAAAACAGTCACTCTGCTGGCCTCAAAGTGTCTGTACTACTGGACTACACACGGGGATCAAGAGGTCGGTTACCATTATGCCAGGTTTAGGCTGTGTAATACCCCTGGTCTGGCACACTCTGAAAGTTTTACGTAAATTGTGAGCGATTTAGTAGAAAACAGTGCAGACAAATTTTACATTGTACTCAAAATCCCTCACTTCTCATCTTCATGGTCATAGAATAGTCTTTGCATAACGTATGAATGCCTTTCTGCTGTTTTCCTGCACACATTTGTCCTCAAAAATCTATTCTGCTTTCTCTTCCAGGTCAGATTAACTCCAGGACCATGTTGCTGCCTCTGCTGCAGCGCTTCTCCTCTCAGATGCGAGTGTCTTTGTACCACACGCCAGACCTGAGAGGCCTGCTACGACTTCTGGTGCCGCAGCGCTTCAACGAGACCATTGGAGTCCAGCACATCAAAGTCTACTTGTTTGACGACAGCATTATCATCAGCGGGTTTGTAGGCTTTAATTTGATATCATTGGAAAGGTGAACACAGGACTTAAAAAATCCAGCCAAGACAAAGGCTTCGTTCACACTGCAGGCCTTGATGCTCAATTCTGAATTTTTTTTTTACGTTGCCGTTCACATTTCCAAATATATGCGACTTGTGTGTGTGATCTCCTGTGTGAACTGCAGTCATACAACGCAAGTGTCCCACATGGGCAGTAGAGGACGCAATGACGTCACAGGTCAGCGTGTTCTGTGTTTACGGAAGTAAACATGGATGGTAGTGCTGGAGCGCATCTAGCCCAAATGATCTTTCCCAAACAAAAACACAATCTTTTCAAGATGGTTAAACATAAATACAGCTCTCCGCATCATCGTCCGCCATGGTTGTTGTATTTCTTCCCGCTTCTGCCTAACAAGACGCAGAGTTGTGACCTTTGTTGAATGTTAATGACATTCAGGTTGGATAAATGTCACCTGGCTGTTCAGACAAAGGTCGTGTTTGAAAAGATCAGATTCGTATCGTATTCAGGACCACATAGCCAAGTGGCCTGTGTCGCATTGGAAAAAATCAGATCTGTGTTGTTCAGACAGTCATGAGAGATCAGATTCAGGTCGCATATGGGCCAAAAAATTGGATTTAGGTCACTTCAGGCTGCTTTGTGAACGTAAAAAGTTGAGAAAACACTCATCCCTGTTTTTATATTGGAGCAGTGAATGAAAACAGCTAGGCTTCATTTTACTAATGGGTGCAGATGTAAACGGTGAAACGAACAGTAAAAACATGCGTAGAGCAAACTCAAAAAGCACACAAGCATAAAAAATGTTGCGAACATAAAGGAAACGTGCAGCAAAAGGTCAAACAAGCTTCAAACACGAATGATGCAAACTACAAAACATACAAACACAAAAAAAACCAATGCAAGCGTAAATTGCTGAAAACATGATGTACTACAACCACTAAGAAGAGAAGCAAAAAAAAAAACTACAATCAACAAAACAAATCTAAACAAAAAAAATGCTGCTTCCGCAAAAAGACAAAAAACAGCAGCAAACTCACTCCATAAAACAGAAGTGCTCCAGACCTCTAGAGGGAGTTGAAATAAGACTAACTAGATTTTATTGTGAATAACTGTGATCTTATTCTGTAATACTGTAAGATTACGTGTTTTACAATTTAATTAAAGTTAACAAGTCCCTCATTTCTTCCTGAATTTCTGCATTAAAGACTTAGACTTAGATTTGTCATTTTGTTTACACAAGTGTAAAACAAAAAGAAATTTCATTTAAAAAAAGATGAAACTGTCCAGAGAGCTGTTTCAAAGTGCAGCCTTGAAAAAGCTGGACCTTCCGTGTGCTTGGAGGTTCTGATCCAATATAGTTTGTTCTTTTTTGACTCCCTCTAGTGGTCCGGAGCACTTGCATTTTGTGGTTCGAGTTTGCTGCTGTTTTTACCATTTGCATCATTTTCTTGCAGCAGCATTTTCTGTTTGCATTTGTTTTGTTGATTGTAGCTTTTTGCTTCTATTTTTAGTAATTGCAGCATATTTTTTTGTTTGCGGTGTTCTTTTTTTTTTTTGTATTTGTTTTTGTACCTGTGCACGTTGAAGTTTGCATCACACATGTTGTTGCAGCTCGTTTTGTAATTTACTGCACTGTTCACCTGTCCTCTGTATTACAAGGAGGTAGCAACTTTATCAAAAATATGGTTAGTTTCTCAAAACATTCAGCTCTAGAAATGGACTTCAAGCTAATGTTACACACGGTGATTGAAAGAAGGTTACAAACTTTTCTTCATACATTGAGGAAAAAAACCAAAGCAGAAATGTTCGGTCAGCTTTGCGAGTATTAAGTCCTCCTTTCTTTGCTGCTGTTTTTATTTGTAATATGCTGAATAAAAGCTGATTTGTTTCGGCTGCACATTGCTATTGGTTTAGTTCCTTGTTTAATAATAACTTATCATTTTTGTTGATTTTGTGTTGCAAACAAAACTTTGTCCCTAAAACACTTCAGCGGTCAAAAGTTACCCACTTTTCTTGCGTAAAAGTTCTGTGGGGACATTAGTAGTGCTCTCGCTGTCCTTTAGATGTGGCCACAAATATATTTAAATATTCCTGTCAGATGTTTTTCTTTCAATGATTATCTTCTATTAAAAGCAAGGTTACAATTGCTGTCTTCCCACATATGTGGTTGTTTCTCCCTATTTTTTATAGGCAACGGTTGAAAGGTACTTTAGTTTCAGAAAACTGGGTTCTAAAATTGTGCATCTGCTTCACTGAAACTATAGAAAGCATGTTGTCATTTATATATGTTATATACTTTCATATATATTTAGATTAGTTTTTATATGAGCCTACAGCTCCGGATAATTTCCTCCTCTTAAGCGTGCGTGTGTATTCAAAGCACTGAGCAGCTGCTGCCATTGCTTGGAAATGTCAGCGACATCTGCAGAAAAAATGGAAATCATGGGTGTGCTCCAAAAGCAGGGGACCGCAGTGGTATGTTGGTTTCGCTCCATTACACTTCAAAACATGCAAACTCATACATCATGTTAGAGAAGAAGGATTTTCATGCAATACTTTCTAAAGAACACGCTGCAACTGCCTTGAAACCTCTAATTAACGTCTTGCAGAATAGCTTCCCGGTGTAATGGGTTAGTCTTGGCTGCGTTAGAATTCATTCACACCCTCCTATCTCGCAACTCCTGTCTTCTCTCACACATCTGAAGCTTGCTACTTCCATCGTTTGGAAATATTATTCTTATCAGGCTTGGAAATAAAAAAAATGAGTCTCTTGTGTGTCAACAAAGTGAATATTGAAGCACTTTGGTGATCAAACTGAAAATTTGGACTCCTTTCGCCCTTGAGTTTACAGCTGCAGGTTAAAAGGGTTAATCAACCTTTTTTAGCTACAGATATTAAATGATTAATTTATTTTTTATTGTTAACAGTCCAACTTGCCATATTTAAATCTGTTTATCTTGAGCCATTAAGCTATTTAAAATTTAAATCAACTTTATTACAGCTGAAAACTGAAAAATGGGGAGACATTTTATTTTTCAGATTCTTCGTGTGTGAAAAATAAAACGATTTTTATCTATTTTCCTTCCTCCATTTCCTAAATATTACAGGAATGTGCAGCAATATTTTGGATAAATAATAAATATTTGTAAGAAATGGCTGTCCTTCATTAAAAAAACTTATATTTCAAATCTGTCTGCAGGTTAATTTATCTTAGCAATAGATGTGTAAATAACCTTTCTTGGCTTCCTACAGCTAGTCTTAATATCTACACCCTGAACTAAAATTCATAAAAATTTAAACAATGATGTTTGAGTTTGAAGCTAGGTTAAGTAATTATTTTATCGAAATTGCATAAAACAGTAATGCATCCTTAATGCATGTAGCATTGGAATATCTGGTGCCAGACTGAGAGGAGGATTTTGTGTCGCATGCTTCCAGCCTCATGTTTAAGCAGAGAAACTAAGCTTCGTTTTCAGAGGTGGTGCTCCAGAGGAATCTTTGATTTAAGTAGATGTTCCATCAGACATACAGCAGATTTATTTTTTATTTTTTGTCAATTGTAGACAAAAAATAAACAAGTCGTTTTTTTTTTTTTTTGCTAAAAACTGCAACTTAGTTGTTCTTTTTAAAAATCAAGATGTCAAGAAACTCAGTGTTCCAGTGAGTAGCACTGCTGCCTTGCAGCAAGAAGGTTCCGGGTTCGATTCCCAGCCCGGGGTCTTTCTGCATGGAGTTTGCATGTTCTCCCTGAGCATGCATGGGTTCTCTCCGGGTACTCCGGCTTCCACTCACAGTCCAAAGACATGACTGATAGGTTAACTGGCTTCTCTAAATTCTCCTTAGGTGTGTGTGTGAATGGTTGTTTGTTCTGTTGTCTCTTTGTTGCCCTGCGACAAACTGGCGTACCCCACCTCTCGCCCAATGACAGCTGGAGATAGGCACCAGCATCCCTCGCGACCCCAGCAGGGATAAGCGTGACAGAAAATGGATAGATGTCGAGAAGTAGTTGTTTTTTGATGTTAAAGGTTTAAACAGATTTATCTCCAATCAGGGGTTAATAGTTACAGAAGCACTTGAGGCATTTACGTCTTTTATTTTATCACAATCATTTTTCACTGAGATGACCTCATAATGCAGGCCGCTTTAAACAATGTGTTAATGTTTCCATCAGGCTCATCATGCCAAACATTTGAGACATGTTGGCTAGACTGGTTTTTACTTACTGCTAAATGGCCATAATGAGCATTTGAAGCTTACATGAGGCTTTGAGAGAAGAAACATGTTGTGATCTGTTTCCTGAAGATTTTTGAAGCTTCAGCAAAGCCTCATCTCTCCATTACTAGACTTGTCTATGTCCTGTTGATATGAATGTAGGCCATGATTGGTGTTAGAAATTCTTCTAGTCCAATTTTTTTTTATTGAATCTAATCCAACAACCTCCATGATGTTTCTTTTTTTTATTTTTTTATTTCTTTACATTTTCTTATATTAAGTGAAATATTTAGTGATAGTAGGAAAATCCCACCACATGTGGTCCTTGAATTTGACAAAATTTGCACTTAAGAATCCTTGAATTTAGTGGTAACCAAGGTGTGGAAACTTTCCTGCTTTGCAAATTTTAATCAGTTAATGGTTAGACATTTCCACCTGAGGCCTGTGATCCCTTATTTGGAAATGTTTGGTTTTTCATAATTATCTGCAGTCCAATTTGAGGTCAAACAAGCCTAGATGTTGAATTTGTGTTTAATTTGCAGCGCTTTCTGTCATTATCTATTTATTTTTAGGGGAAAATGGGAATCTTTAAAAAAATTAAACGGGTAACACTTTCCTTTTTACACACGAGTTTCCACAGAAAACTTCTTCTGTGTTCTTCTGAAAAAACGACACAAACCCAAACAAAGTAATAGAAGGGAGAATTACAATAAAAACTTAAAAATTGAGACTTAAAATATTGACACAGTTTATTTATTTTGCAACTTCCTACTTTACAGTCACTGATGTAAAGAAGTCGTTCACATAAAAATTTGTTTCCTCTACAGAGAAACCTAAGGCGTCAGCAACTATTTGACCTACATCTTTATTTTCAAAATGTTTTATTAAATTTAAGTTTGGAATAAAACCAAAGCAGTAAAATTTTTTAAATGAAGCCAGATAAAAGAATGTTTTTTATTTTCACAGCACATTAAATGACTCATTAACAAAGATGACCCTCAATCATTTTACAGCTAATGACCCATGTACAGTAAGCACATCTTGATGTCTTATCTAGATCTATGATGTTTAGACAGTGAAGAATGCTGCACTGCTGGGAAAGGTGATCTCTTTGGTTCCTTTTGTGTCATTCAGCTTTAGGAATGCGAGTAATGAATTTCATTGTCAGAGATGTGAAAATGAAATGTCACCTTTGATTACTAGATGTTAAATTTAGTAATACTACAGTAAGGAAAGAATGAACTGGCCAGGCTTGTTTGGAATGAATGATGGGAAACCTCTCTGTTCAAAGACTCCGCCTGCAGGCCTTAACCAAAATAAGCCGTCATGTGTGACAACAACCCGTGACAAAGGAGATAAACAGGCACTAATTATACAAATTGAAGCATGGCGGAGGGAGACTCATGATTTGGGCTCGGTGTGCTGCAGGATAACAACTTGGTTGATCATCGGGACACTTATTTGAAACCCATTATTATATCTACAAAAGAATGAGATGATGTTTGCATAAAATCTACCGAAAGCAAACCTAAATCATGATTTAATAGCTTCCATCTAGGGTTATCACAAAACTAAGGTTTCAAACTATTTCATACTTTGATTAAAATATTTAATACTTTATACTGTTTTTGATACCATGGGAAAAAAATATGACAAATAATGGCATAGCCAAGTTTTGATAACATTATTTCCAAACAAAAACATGGATGCTGTTTAAGTGTGCAAATAAATAACAAATACCCCAAACATAACACAATTAAAATTATATGTTATGGTTATTTGAGGCAGTGGTTCCCAATCTTTTTGGACTTGTGTTCCCCTGTTGGCATTTTGTCTTACCATGGGTACCAATCTCAGTCAAAAGTATTGATGATTGTCCAAAAGTGGAAAATAACTGATTATAGAGAGTATTTTACTTAATCTTTTAATTTCAGCATTTAATTCTTATCATTTTATTATTTTAATCTCAAAAAAACGAAACAACATACACATGTTGGAAGTTTGAATTACCGGTAATTGAATTGAAATAAATACAAGGTAAAATACTATTATAAACCTGTATTTATAAAACTGGAGCTTCCTTATAATCACATTTAAATTTGATGAATTGGGAAATAATTTCCGAAATAAAATTATAGTCAGACTGACTAATTAGTTTTACTTTGTTTTCATCAAGACACCTGAGCTGCTTTGATGAGCTCTGATAGCTCAATGAGAAGAACAGCTGATCCCAGGCTGTTCTCTGCATCCACTCTGTTCCTCTGCTTGGTTCACATGTGTGTCAAAGCTGAAGGTGAACTCAAACATATAAGAAAAAAACTTACTCTTTGGTTGTTAAAAAGTGGTTAAAATGTTCAATTGGTTCATCAGAAAACATGCATCAATACTTTTCAGAGTATTGATATTTTTTGACAAACTTATTTCTATATAAAAACTCGAGCCAGAATTCTCCTAACCTGAAATTTTTTAAATCTTTTTTATTACATTATTACATTACAAAATCCAGATCGGTCCTTTGTGTTGGTAGAAATGTAAAAAGCCTCTTTCAGCCCTCTGACTGACAGTCTGCAGCAACAGGTGGGGGAAGGACAGTGCATCATCACTGCTAGCTCGTTTTGCGTCTAGCGGTACTGGTAATTTTGGAACAGGTTTCTTAAACCTGTGTCCACTTAATATTGTTCCCCTGACTCTGTTTTTCAGGGCCAACCTGAGCGACTCGTACTTCACCAACAGGCAGGACCGCTACGTGCTCCTGGAGAGATGCGGCGAGCTTGCAGACTTCTTCTCTGAGCTGGTGGAGGCTGTGGGGGATGTCTCCCTGCAGCTGCAGCCGGACGACTCGGTCACCATGCTGGAGGGCATGGTGCACCCATACAAAGGTAGAAACCGGACACGCTTTGTTTTGACAACTCGTGACACTTTGGGCTCGCCGTCAGGCGCAGGCTGTTGACGGGTCCAGCTAATGGAGCTTGAAAGCTTAGACAGGCAAAGAGATGCTGGTCAGTGAGAAGGACAGAGAGAGCTCTTGCGGTTTGCTAGCCACGCAGCCAGATGTGAAACTGTCAGATTTCTGTTCACACACGCAATCTCATCTTGCTATATATGATGACTTCCACTGCTTTTTAGTCATTTTCATTCTAAAGCTGATGAACACCCTAAACCTAACCATTACCAGAGCACACGTCACTCTAACCTCGATTCCCACCTATGTGTTAGCCGAGAAGAAAGTGAGGCCCAGCAAAGGTCCTCACTTTAGACCAAACTGTCCTCTATTTGAAAGTGAAATCATAAAAGAAAATGGTCCTCACTCTGATGCTAACACAGGAGCACCCACACACTCTGTAACACGAGCGCAGCCTCCCAGGATGTTAGTTTAAAGGATGAATGACATCATGTCTGCAGGATTAAGCTGCAGAAACGGACACCGGGAATAGAGATGTGATGTCACAGTGTTGCTGGAAGAAGATATGGACTGTAGTGGGAACTGATATTTACGCGCATACATGCAGGAGCTGGTGATATTCCATTCAGAGCTATTTGTACTGCATGAGTTGGAGGCTTTGTAACAAATTAGAAATAATGATGCATAACAGCAGCAGACAGAGTGGAGACAGCAGATTACTCATCCCAAGCAAATTGCCAAACACGCCTTTGCACTCACCTTTTTGAGAAGCATGCAGCACGATAAGCTGACTCACCAGTGGCCTCGCTTCTCTTTTACGTAGTTTTCATGCAAGATCTTTAATCATAAACTCAATTCTTTGTGTAAACGTTTGTTTTTGCTTTTATGAATTTAGCAGAAATGCAGTTTTTACAAATAAAACCTCTAATATGGATTGATATTGTCCCTGTTATTTAATGCTCAAACCCTAACCCTTTTTCCCCACTCACATGTGTTTTATCCATTATTTTTCTTTTCTTTTTGTTTTTATTGTTTTCCACCACAGCCAAATTTGACACACCGTGGTGTGTCAAATATGGCTGCTGCGTAGGTATGCATGTTTAATCGAGAAGGATGCTCAAGTTCACCACTTTGGTTGCAATTTTTAAATGAGCTCCAGTGGTGGAAAACAATAAAAACAAAAAGAAAAGAAAAATAACGGATAAAACACATGTGAGTGGGAAAAAGAGTTAGGGTTATTAGCCTTTTAAGTCCAGAACTGGGCTCTGGGTGCTACAGAACACCCCGTTTGTGAGTTGAGAGGCAAGAAGGTACACTACCGTTCTAAAGAAATGTCCTTATTTTTTAAGGAAAAGCACTGTACTTTTCAATGAAGATAACTTTAAACTAGTCTTAACTTTAAAGTAATACACTCTATACATTGCTAATGTGGTATATGACTATTCTAGCTGCAAATATCTGTTTTTTGGTGCAATATCTACATAGGTGTATAGAGGCCCATTTCCAGCAACTATCACTCCAGTGTTCTAATGGTACAATGTGTTTGCTCATTGGCTCAGAAGGCTTATTGATGATTAGAAAACCCTTGTGCAATCATGTTCACACATCTGAAAACAATTTAGCTCGTTACAGAAGCTACAAAACTGACCTTTCTTTGAGCAGATTGAGTTTCTAGAGCATCACATTTGTGAGGTCAAATAAACGCTCAAAATGGCCAGAAAAGAGAATTTTCATCTGAAACTCGACAGTTTATTCTTGTTCTTAGAAATGGCTATTCGATGCGAGAAATTGCTAAGAAATTGAAGATTTCCTACAACGGTGTGTACTACTCCCTTTAGAGGACAGCACAAACAGGCTCTAACCAGAGTAGAAAAAGAAGGAGGCCGCGTTGCACAACTGAGCAAGAAGATAAGTACATTAGAGTCTCTAGTTTGAGAAACAGACGCCTCACAGGTCCTCAACTGGCATCTTCATTAAATAGTACCCGCAAAACACCAGTGTCAACATCTACAGTGAAGAGGCAGCTGCGGGATTCTGGTCTTCAGGGCAGAGTGGCAAAGAAAAAGCCAGATCTGAGACTGGCCAATAAAAGAAAGAGATTAAGATGGGCAAAAGAACACAGACATTGGACAGAGGAAGACTGAAAAAAAGTGTTGTGGACGGATGAATCCAAGTTTGAGATGTTTGGATCACAAAGAAGAACGTTTGTGAGACGCAAAACAAATGAAAAGATGCTGGAAGAATGCCGGATGCCATCTTTTAAGCATGGTGGAGGTAATGTGATGGTCTGGGGTTGGGTTGGTGCTGGTAAGGTGGGAGATTTGTACAGGGTAAAAGGTATTCTGAATAAGGAAGGCTAACACTCCATTTTGCAACGCCATGCCATACCCAGTGGACATTGCTTGATTGGAGCCAATTTCCTCCTACAACAGGACAATGACCCTAAACACACCTCCAAATTGTGCAAGAACTATTTAGAGCAGAAGCAGGCAGCTGGTATTCTATTGGTAATGGAGTGGCCAGCGCAGTCACCAGATCTGAACCCCATTGAGCTGTTGTGGGAGCAGCTTGACCTTTTGGTACACAAGAAGTGCCCGTCCAACCAATCCAACTTGTGGGAGCTGCTTCTGGAAGCATGGGGTGCAATTTCTCCAGATTACCGCAAAGTTTGATGTAAAAAAAAAAAAATCTTATTTTAAATACAAATCATTATTTCTAAACTTGTCAATGTCTTGACTCTATTTTCTATTTATTTCACAATGTATGGTGGTGAATAAGTGACTTTTCAGGAAAACACAAAATTGTTAAATAAAAAAAACCTCTCAATTTAGGAGATTTAGTGTCAGGTTTTTTTCCCCAACATTTAGTGACTTAAATATAGATTTAATGCCGTATGTAAAAGATGGGAGTTTAGCTTATTAACTTAACTTTTGTCCTGTTACAACCACACACCTTAATATGTTTCATTGGAATTTTCTACCATAGAGCAGCATAAAGCATCACATGATGAAGAAGAGTTCTAAAAGGTGAACCTGAGGAGTTTTTTCCTATCAGAATATCTAGATATTGTACTTCTACTTGAAGTTCTGGTTAAATCTGGACTTTGAGTAGGCCATTCCAGTGTATGATGTTTTTGGATAAACCATCCCGTTGTAGCTCTGGCTGCATGTTTAATCTCGGCATTCCTGCTGGAAGGTGATTCTTCAGCTCCAGTCTTTGTTTTTTTTTGAGCATCTAACAGATTTCTACCAGTTTCACTTGTACCCCTGTGGAATAAAAAGTATATGTTTCTAGTCGAGAACCATCGATCCAGTTTTGTCCAATCCAATACCTGGGCTTAACGTATCGGCTGATATCCGATACCAATCCGATCCGAGTGAGTGAAGGATTTAGCCTTGAAATAAACATTGAAAAAGGACAACAAATGAACACATATACACACAAATTTATATTATTTATTACAAATAAACAGCAAAAAGAAAGAAATAAGACTTCCATAGAAGTGAACTGGATTGGATCTCCGATTTCAGATCACCGAAATCTCATCCAGGTATTGGATTGATCCATCTCTAGTTTTTAGTGATAGGTGTGTCTTGCAGCCTGTATATAGTTTTTTATTTTTTGTCTGGTTGGCCAAAGAGTTAAATTTTGTTCTAATTTAATTGGAGAACCTTCTTACACCTATCTATCCTATGGTTGTGCTTACCCTTGAATCAAGTTCTTCTACCTGAACTGTGGATCTCTGCTGCCCCCCTAAAGTTACCAAGGTCCTCTTGGCTGGTTAAAGTGAGCAGTTCACAGCTCGACTCTTTTGCTTTCAACTTTTTCTGAACTGTGTTTCTTGGTCTTGATGATATTATTTTTGTATCTCTACGATAAAAACGGCTGTTATTCAACAGGACTAAATGCCGAAAGCTGTTGTCAAAGGAGGCCTTTCTAATTTCCAAGCATTTTCATGTAATTCGCTTCTTTTCTTGACACGTTTTACCCTGAACTTGACGTCTCTGCTGTGTGTTCAGCTTTAAAGTGTCAGATTTATTTTGAAGCAGAATTACCACGTTATGACCAGAACAGTGTGACACAGAGGTCGATCTGACCCATCCTCCCTTTTCATCTCAGCCCCCCTGTAGGCTGACTTAATCTGTGTCTCCATGGTGACCAGGAAATCGGCAGGATTTTGCAGCAGCTGCGAGGAAGCGAATCATGGAGGTGGTGAGCTTGGCCCAGGTGAGACAGCAGCTGCTGCGGCACCGCTCCAAGGAGGAGGGAGGCATGAGCGAGTGTGAGGAGGACACCTGGGTGTTCCCTCTGGTGCAGATGAAGCCTCTGGGTATCCGGCTGGATGAGCAGGTCACACAGGTGAGCCTCCTCTGGCCACTTTTTATATTTGAACAGCAAGCTCTCCTTGAGAATTTGGTGGGAAAAGCTGAAGGGAACCGTGTTTGGAGGCCGTCTGTCATCACCTTCTGCTTCTCCTGGCCGTTCCAGCGCCTGCTGACAGACGCCGGGCCAGACTCCACTGTGTATCTAACATCGGGTTACTTCAACCTGACCCGGGCTTACATGCGGCTGGTGCTGGGGACCGGAGCCAGGTACCGCATCCTGACCGCCTCCCCTGAGGTCAACGGGTTCTTTGGGGCCAAAGGCGTCGCCGGAGCGATCCCTGCAGCTTACATCCACATCGCCAGGCAGTTTTACAACCAGGTGTGCCAGCTGGGCCAGCAGGACAGGGTGCGTCTGCACGAGTACCACAGGCCGCAGTGGACCTTCCACGCTAAAGGTGGGTGACAGTTGATTTGAGCTCATTCAGATTGGAACAGAAGTGTGTTGTTACTCTGTACAGTAGCAGCCATTCAAACTGGCCCTTTCTAGTGAAAAGCCAGCCGAATGGTAGCTCACTTCCCTGCAACTCCTAGAAAAATCCCCTCCAACTTCCAGCCACTGGAGTGATGTTCTCCTTCTCCTGGGCGTGCATATTTCTTTACTCTGACTCCACCCTTTCACTGATTTACAGGGTCTGACCAGGAGATAACACTTCTCTTTAGATCTTAATGTCCACAAATCATGAAAGAAAGAATATTTTAGTACAAAGATTGATGTTTAAAAAGGAATTGCAGGGTACCAGCAGAGGGCCCTTCAAATTTTGATTGGCTACTCTTGTATTTAGAAGCAAATCTAACCGTCTTTCCTGCATCTTTGCATCATGATGATGCCACCGCCATGTTTCACTATGGAGATGTGGTGCTCAGCAATGCCGTCTTCCTGCAATTATAATATTTAGCATTTAGAAACGTATTCTGGATGCCTGCTGCTCATCCAGACTGCCAGACTCGCTCTACAGGGGATTAACCTTATTAATTTAGCTGTTTTCAGCTATTGTTGTCTTATCAGAGCAAGATAATAGTAATACTGTTGTTATTATAGCCTGAGCTACTTATAATACCCTTTTATTCTTAACTAAAGCAGGTTTTTCAAGTAAATTTAGAACCCAGAGATAATATTGGAACCACTATACTGATATCAAGCCATAAAACAGGGGAAATAGACGTGTTTAGCCAGTTTGTTTTTAGAAGAAGCCCTTTGTTAGAAAGCATTTCCTTTAACTACAAAAAAGTAAAGTTGTCTCACCAAACGAAAGCATTCATTTAAAAAAAATGACGTCGTTTTTTTCAGTTTTGCTTCTTTCATTAGTTAAATGAGTCTTAAGATATAATATGAATTGTATATATAAATGTATTTATGTAAACATGTCATCATTTAAACTATATTTAGTTACATCCTAAATCTGTAGGTGGTGAATTCTAGTGGGAATTTTTCACCTGAAATTAAACCGTTCCTGCAAAAACAATCCCTAGAAATCTTGTAAAATGATTTTTTGGTTGTTTGGGGAATTGAAATCAAAACTTTCTTGTTTATTTATCTTCCACCGTCTGCCCTGATTAACATCATCAGACATGGAAATAACAAAATCTCTGTAAAATATGGGATTATTAATCTTTTTTAGTTTCTGTTTAAAAGTAGTTTCAAAGTATTTACTCAGAGCTGCAAACAATTTTGAGAAAGTTTTATTTTTCTTTAGTTGCTTAATAAAGAAGGCATAAATTAATGAGTGATTTAATAAACTTATTTTGTATAGCTCCTAAATTTCATGTCAATATTTTTTTCAGTATTATTACCTTTTCTCTGCAGTATTAAACGGGCTGATTTTACACAGTCAGTTCTTCAAAATGCGAAAAAAAACAAAAAAATTTAAGTGTTGGAAAATGTATGGTGGAGGATCTGTGATCCTGTGGGCTGTTTATCCGGAACATGATCAACTCTTGGAAATTAAAGGCTGATAGATCCTGTTTGGAAACTTTAATGGTTATCATTGGGTCTATTTGCAGGAAAATAATCCCAAACATGTGGATGGTTCACCGTCGGTTCACCAGATTAAATCTAAGGAAGATGCTTTGGGTTATTCCTAGTAGGATTACTGCAATTGAAGTGTCAGGTTGTTCTATTGTATTAAGAATTTTTTTTAAAGCTTTTCCAGCTGATTTTCTCTGTTAGCAGCGTTTTCTCTTTTCTCTGGGCTTCTTTTCCAGTCTTTCCCCAGAGAATTTACAGAATAACAAAGGTTGTTTTTGCTTTGATTCAGTTAATCAGGACCTCCATCTTTGCTCTCTGCTTTTATTTTCCTCAGCAGGTTACCGTGGTCACGGCTTGCTGGTAATTTGGCGAGATTCCGTTTAACTCAGAACAGCATGGGATGATTTTGTTTGAGGCCCTTTTGGTGTTTTAAGGCCAAAAAGAAGGGAAAAAAATTATAAACAGAATTAGTTCTGTTGGGGTAGGATTGTAGATGAGCCGTTCTCCATATGAAGAGTGTCGGGGTCTGCTGTTGTTCTTGTGGCTGTAATGGTATGTAGGTTCAGACAGGAATCTTGCAAACTCACTCTGCTTTAGCCCCAGGACAGGGATGCACACTCACTCGCCCATATTTTGAGGTTTTGGATCAACGTTGGGGATTTCTACATGTGCTTTCTTTTAGTTGTGGTTTCAGGCTGCTGGAACAGACTCTCACTGACTCCTCTCCCCTCCCCTCTTCTTCTCAGGTCTGTGGTATTACCTCCAGGGGCAGGACAGGCCTTGCCTCACTCTAATCGGCTCCCCTAACTTTGGTTACCGCTCGGTTCACCGTGACCTGGAGGCACAGATCGCCATAGCGACGGAGAACGAAGAGCTTCAGCGGCAGCTGCAGGAGGTCTGCTCGTTTGTTCCTCTCCCCCCCAGAAGGCTGGTGTGACAAAATGCTCAACAGCTCACCTGTGTTCTGTGTTCTAACCCGGAAGGAGCAGGAGATGCTGTACCGCCGCTCCTCCGAAGTGTCCGACTCCACTTTCCAGCAGCCAGACCGCCACGTCAAACTGTGGGTCAAACTGGTCACTCCGCTCATCAAGAACTTCTTCTGAGATCCAACAGGTTCAAAGTGAAACATTTACATCACACACAAGCAAACCTCCAATCATTAAAGATTTCAGCTTCCTCTGGCAAAGGTTCATTCAGCTCTGGCTTTGCTATGTTTGTATTTTATATTAAAAGATGATGAAAACCTGAACTTTTTATAATTATAACAACCAGAAAAATTTCTGTGCGGTGCGTTTCTGCACTAAGGAGATGGGCCGCTAATCTGCTTTTTACTTGATAAAAACAAATAACCTTTATATGCATATCTGATCCACACCAATTGACTGACCTTACTGGCATTGGATCAAGTTCTGCAGAACCCTGCAGCCACATGTTTCGATGTGTTATAGAAGAAGCAGATATAAAAGGTGGAGGAAATGAAGCCTGCAGTTTTTCTTCCACTGAACTTTCTTAGAAACACCACTCATGGTTCAGGGGTTTCACTTGAAGACATGTGGAAAATGTTTAAGTTAAATGTATTTTATTAGTGTTTTAGTGTGAAAAACACCTGGAGCTATAAAGTGCCTCGACTTGTTCTTGACATTAAAACTTGTCCTAAATTCAGATTTGGCCCTTTGCACATGAAGTCAGAGAAGCAAAACGTTTCTGATTCGAAAACACTTTTATTGATATTGTGTAACTTTTAATGATGTAGTTTTTATTTTCTTTCTGCCAGCTGTAAACCATAATCATTAAATCTGACAGACATTGGAACTTAGTTTTCAGCTCGGTATATTTAATTCTGTATTTGAAACAATTGAACTTTGCATTAATGCTCTAAATCTCAATTGCTACATTTTCTCGGCTGTTACCAGAATTTGCAATTTTTCTTCCTCTCCTTATTGCTTTTTTTTTTTGCAGCTTAGCAAAAATGCATCTCTGGATATTTAGTGCAGAGGTACCCACTCACACAGACAGTAAAGCTGTGGGCTGTGGGTTCTGTGAAATGCTCGCAGTCATTGTGGTGATTCCCAAATCCAAGTGTCCAGACCTCCTCTTTCCCAGAATCGGCGTACAGGGAGCAGGGACGGGGAGTCGGCTGATTCAGAGCCGCCGTCAAGTGAGTCAGCATGGCGTTATGGGGATGATCTGACACTTTGGTTTGGGAGTCCTGTCAGGACTCGGTGAGGTCGACTCAGGAGGTTCATACTTGTGAAACTAGAAGTTCTGCTCGTTTGTCATAAAGTTCAGCATTTCTCCTCCCTGAGCTAAACGCTCAGGCTGCAGGGAAAGCTGTCAGCTGCAGAACGAGAGAAAGCAGCGCATTTCCTGAGAAGAGGAAGTGTTTTTCAGGCTTGAAACTGACGGTAAATGGGTGGTGTCTTATCACTACCTGAGCACTGCCAGGAGAGAAAAAAAATCTGAGTCATCAGCTGCCAGAAAGACACAGTTAGAATAGATATTTTGCAGTGAAGCATAGCACACGCTGTGGTGAGTGTGTTCAGGCTTATTGTTGGATGACTGCAGAACTGGTTCGATTTGTGTAAAAGGCTAAGAGGAAACCTTCTGATCAGCTTGAGCTAAACATGTGTAGAGAAACGGTTTACCACGACGGCTACTACACAGGCTGATTTAATCAAACTCTAGTGTGTTATTTAACATGGAGGGAGTGAAAATAAGGTTTTATAGGTGCATTAGTTGCAGATCTCAGGAGGAGCTTAAAAAATAATATTGGATCAGTTCACTGCTGTGCAGACAGTCTTAGAAAATATGGCCCCTTGGTAACCAATTAGTGGACCGGCATCTGTACCGGATGAGAAGAAGTCAGGGAAGCCAACAGCAACATTAAAGGATCTGCAGACATTTCTGAGAAATCATTTGCATGTTTGGCTGATGAGTTTCAATTTTTTGGACTTAATTACAAGAAACACCAAGTCCCCAGTGAAGCACGGTGGTGGCAGCACTGTTTTTCTTCTAAACCTACACTAAGGAACTTTTCAGCCTTCATAAAATGTTTTCATAACTTTTATAATTATACTGAAAACTTAATTGAATGACACCTCTGCACATATTTTTATATCTCAGGGAAACATATTCTAGGACATTACAACATTACAACTTTTACAGGTGCTGGTCATAAAATTAGAATATCATGAAAAAGTAGATTGATTTCAGTAATTCCATTTAAAAAGTGAAACTTGTATATTATATTCATACATTACATACAAACTCATATATTTCAGATGTTTATTTTGTTTAATTTTGATGATTACAAATGACAACAAATGAAAATCTCAAATTCATCATATCAGAAAATTAGAATATTACTGAAGACCAATAAAAACAAAGGATTTATAGAAATGTTGGCCAACTGAAAAGTATGAACATGAAAAGTATGAGCATGTACAGCACTCAGTATTTAGTTGGGCCTCCTTTGGCCTGTATTACTGCAGCAATGCGGCGTGGCATGGAGTCGATCAGTCTGTGGCACTGCTCAGGTGTTATGATAGCCCAGGTTGCTCTAATAGTGGCTTTTAGCTCTTCTGAATTGTTGGGTCTGGTGTATTGCATCTTCTTCTTCACAATACCCCATAGATTTTCTATGGGGTTAAGGTCAGGAGAGTTTGCTGGCCAATTAAGAACAGGGATACCATGGTCCTTCAACCAGGTACTGGTAGCTTTGGCACTGTGTGCAGGTGCCAAGTCCTGTTGGAAAATGAAATCTGCATCTCCAAAAAGTTGGTCAGCTGCAGGAAGCATGAAGTGCTCTAAAACTTCCTGGTATGTGGCTGCGTTGACCCTGGACCTCAGAAAACACAATGGACCAACACCAGCAGATGACATGGCACCCCAAACCATCACTGACTGTGGAAACTTTACACTGGACTTCAAGCAACGTGGATGAAGTGCCTCTCTTCTTTTCCTCCAGACTCTGGGACCTTGATTTCCAAAGGAAATGCAAAATTTACTTTCATCAGAGAACATGACTTTGGACCACTCACCAGCAGTCCAGTCCTGTTTCTCTTTAGACGCTTCTGACGCTGTCTGTGGTTCAAGAGTGGCTTGACACAAGGAATGCGACAGCAGAAACCCATGTCTTTCATACGTCTGTGTGTGGTGGTTCTTGAAGCACTCACTCCAGCTGCAGTCCACTCTTTGTGAATCTCCCCCATATTTTTGAATGGGTTTTGTTTCACAATCCTCTCCAGGGTGCGGTTATCTCTCTTGCTTGTACACTTTTTTCGACCACATCTTTTCCTTCCCTTCGCCTCTCTATTAATGTGCTTGGACACTGAGCTCTGTGAACAGCCAGCCTCTTTAGCGATGACCTTTTGTGTCTTGCCCTCCTTGTGCAAGGTGTCGATGGTCGTCTTTTGGACAACTGTCAAGTCAGCAGTCTTCCCCATGATTGTGTAGCCTATAGAACTAGACTGAAAGACCATTTAAAGGCTTTTGCAGGTGGTTTGAGTTAATTAGCTGATTAGAGTGTGGCACCAGGGGCCATCAATTTTGAACCTTTTCACAATATTCTAATTTTCTGATATGATGAATTTGAGATTTTCATTTGTTGTCATTTGTAATCATCAAAATTAAACAAAATAAACATCTGAAATATATGAGTTTGTATGTAATGTATGAATATAATATACAAGTTTCACTTTTTAAATGGAATTACTGAAATCAATCTACTTTTTCATGATATTCTAATTTTATGACCAGCACCTGTAGCTCTTTCATGCTTTTTTGTACTACATACACTCTTTTTATGTTTGTTGTATTTGTATCCTTAATGGCATCTTTCTTTAACTCTTTCTACTATATAAAAAGTACTGGAACCAGAATGTCCCTGAAGGAGAAATCCCAAAGGATAAATAAAGTTGAGTCTAAGTCTATGTCCAAGTCTAAAACAACTAAACATGTGTAGACTGCTTTACGGCATACTGTACGTCACTTCCCCCTTTCTCCATTCGTTACCAAGACTGAAGTCGACAAAGTGTCCTTGAGAGATCGTATATTTGTACAAATTCTGCAGGGGTGATATTCAGGTAATACAGCTTCTTCCTGCTGCGATCTATACATTTTTACTGTTAAATTATCAAACATAACATTGTTTCAACATAATTAGATTCCGTACCTCAGCGTTATTTAGCTTTTACACAGCCGCTGGAAAAAGAAATGTAGTTCAATCCAACTGCAAGCCTTTGGGAGATCAGGATTTTACGACGCTATGCGATGGTCCTCATGGGAAATGTTCGCTTAGTTTGATTACGCTATGATGCTATGGAAGACTCCTCGATATGCGGCCGACAATTGCAGCCTTCTTTTTGCCCATTTTGAAGGGCGGGTCTGGTGTATCCTATGTAGCCTTGGATATCCCATGATTCATTGCGAGTCCAAGGATCCCGGCTGCTCCGTGCTCAGAGGAAAAAGGTAAAGGGCGCCGGACAGTGGTGAATATTCTAAGTGCAGTTTAATATAATACAGGTATGTGAAACGTTCTGTCTGAAATGAATGAAAATTGTTGTAGTTGTTCCTCAGTTCCTCGAACGAACCCAATGTCTTCCTTCAGGCAAAACAATACAGCTTTTGTCCACTGGGGGGAGCCTAAATCCACCAAAACTAAAGGTTCTTAAAGGAATAGTACACCCAAAACATGATTAGCCTTCATTTTCTACTCACCCCCATGCTGAACAAAACTCTGGAGTACTTTTTTGATATCTCAAATGCATCTGGAGATCTGGGAGGCTTCTTGCTGTCTGCTGACATTCAAATAATGGAGGTCTATGGCGCCCGAGACTTTTGTGGACCTTTCTGTCTCGCGCGCCATAGACCTCCATTATTTGAATGTCAGCAGACAGCAAGAAGCCTCCCAGATCTCCAGATGCATTTGAGATATCAAAAAAGTACTCCAGAGTTTTGTTCAGCATGGGGGTGAGTAGAAAATGAAGGCTAATCATGTTTTGGGTGTACTATTCCTTTAAGAACTAATATTTTTAATTTATTTAACCTTTATTTTAAACTAAAGATGCACCGATCTGATGCTCAGATCAGATATCTGCTGATCGGATATCAGATGAACGGCGTCGATCCAGTGTTACCGCGCAATCTTTACGATTTCCATTGATATTATACATGCAGATAAGCTACAGCCATTTAGTGATTAAAATGTTATGATTCCAAAGCTGATTACACTGATGATTTACGTGTTCATTTGTTACCTTTTTTATTTTCATGTCAAGCATGATGCCTTTGGTAACATGGCGAGTTATCGCATTATGGAGCTGGTATCGGATATCAGCCAATACGCTCAGCCCATGCATCGGTATCAGATTGGATCAGATTGGAAAAAATAAATCGCTTCATCTCTGATTTTACCGACTTTAAAGCGAAGGTCATTATCCTGCCAAGTACCACGATATTGTTTATTCATTTATTTTTAGTTTTTATGGCAGTGGTGGCTCATTTTTCTGATAGTAGGCTGACAGGAACAGAGGGAAAGAATATGCGGGAAAGAACTACAGGCCGGATTCGAACCCGAGTTGGCCGCGTCGAGGACTAAGGCCTCAGTACAGATACCACAATATTTTAATGTATCTACAACTTCTATGGTAAACTTCTATTACTTCTTTAACAGAAGGAATAATATGGGATCTACATAACTTTGGTTTTTCGAGCAGTTGTGAATCACAAAGAGTGTTTTGAAAGGTGATAAAATCAGTCTGAAAGTCAGAGTGAACTGCCTCTGTTGAGGATGCTGGGAACTTTGAACAGCTTTGCTGGAAACATAAACGATGTTGTCAATCATAGATCCAATTTAATTCTGGCTGAAAATCTGGGGATGTGCCAGAATCAACCTCACAACCTGATGGAGAGAAGAGGCAAAGGGTCGAAGGTTAATTTGCTGATTGCTGCAACTGTTGTTAATGTGTGTTTACAAGAAAACCCACATTTCATTTGAATAATTCCGGTTTTTCGGTTGAGTTTCACAGATTAAAGCTCACATAAAATTTCTGTAGTGCTTTTTTTACACTTGTTTTTTTTTTTCACCACAAAATCTTTTCATTTTTAGCAGGCGTCAAATATTTGATCTTCTTTGAAGGAATATTAAACAATCTGATTCATCTTTACAACTTTCCCAAACAGCTGGTCCTGCTGGGCGGAGCCTGTTATTTAACTTCTGGCTCCGGTTTTATCTTTTGTGAGACTCCAACAAGAACTTTATGGTATGATTATACAAGGACGTATAAAAACAAAAATAGATCAGGCTTGTGTATAAATGTCATCCGATTAAATCAAGTTCATGCTGCGTAATTAAATCCTGACGTGAGAAACAATCCTATTTAGAAAATTCCCGAGGCTGTTTCTTATTCTAAATCCGTCCTGTTTATTGGGATTCCTCCTGCTGCTGATAAATAGTTTTTTCTGTATTGTAACATGATTTATGCGAGAAGAAGTGCGAATCAGAGTGTTTCTGGATCCCATTATGACCTCCTGTCTGCAGCCTCATTTAATATCTGCAGGTAATTCAGAGAAGGGCGGCTCTTTAAGCTCTTACTGGAAACCACAGCCATATTTCCAGCTCCTTCAGTTTGAAAGTTTACATTTCTGCCACTAAATTCAAATGCTTCAAATGTTAAGCAGAATAACTAAAATCCAGTCATGCATTTTTGTTTATTACTTTTTTATTCATGTTGTCCTATCTTTCTGGCATGGGCCGTTCTGGTGCTCGCTTGAATCGCCTGAAGAACTTGTTTTTTTTGTTTTGTTCCAAGTTGAGCTGTAGTTTGAAGAGCTTTCTTTATTTTCCTTTTCTTTTGTTTGCTCGTTTGTTTCCTTCTGGCACAGGGATCGACTTCACTTCCAGTATCTCTCTCTCTCTTTTTTTTTTCCTTTATTCCCGAAATGCCGGCAAAACAAAAGCCGTCCTCTCCAACAATAGCCTCGCCTGTGAGCGGTGTGAAGAGATCTTATCAGTAGCCCGGTTCATCTATTGTTGGGAACCAGTGACAACAACTTGAGGCTTCCTACCATCAGGGACTTTGACTCAGGATAACAGAGGTTGTTGGTGATTGACTATTGGTTACTGCCCTCTAGTGGTAAAATGTTGATGTTTCAGGAGGGATCACATCCTGCAGGTGATATTTCCTGCAGCCTGTGTCTGGCCTCCACTTTGTTTCACAGTCCAGTTGAATCCTCCATCCATTGCTGTTACATGTGCATCTCTTTCTACCACACTTTTTTCTTCTACTCAACTTTCTAATCATATTTTAAATTATTCTTCCATTAACAAGTAGTTGCTGGTGTCTGCATCCAATAAAATAACATTTTTTTAAATTAATTGTATGTTTTATACATATTAAGTGAGATCCAAACATTTTTTTTTCTCTCTAGCTGTAATTCATAACTTTATAAATAACGTTTGAAACATATAAATCTGAGCTGAATTACTGAACTAAAGCTTGTTTTATTTAAATTTAGTATGATGCATATTTTTAAGCATAGAATCAGTTTCATTCACAAGGCTGAAACTAAAGATTATTTTGCAAATGGATTCATTTGCTGATTGTTTTTTCGATGTATAATTGGATAACCAAAGGTTCCTTAGAGACATTTTTTAACGAAATTAAACCAGGGGAAACTAAAACTTTTCCACCTTTGGAGTACTGGATAGAGCATACTGACATTTTTTAAAACCTTATATGCAAAATAATTTTTTGTTTTGTTTTTGTTACAATGTTGTTATAATTACTGCTTTAAGTGGGTTATCTCTGTCAGCTAAAGGCATGCTTTACATTCTCTATACTCCAGTTAACAATTAAATTGATTACAAAGTTAGTTTACGATTATTTCAATAATCAATTAATCACGATTCATCCGCTTAGTAGTTTTAGCCTACATACACACATATATACATATGTGTGTGTATATATATGTATGTGTGTGTATATATATGTATATGTGTGTGTGTATATCAGGGTTTCCGCAGGTCATAAAAAAAATTTAATGTGATTTTAGTGGCATTTAAAATGCTTTATTTAAAAAAAAAAAAGGTTTATAAAACAATTTCTTCAGATATATCAGATATAACTGGTTCCACGTGTTTATGTGCGTATATCAACATATGAGAGTCATGAGTACTTGTTGATGGCATTAAAATTATTTCTAAGAGCATTAAAAAGCATTAAATTAGAGTTGCTCATTCCTGTATAAACCCTGTATATGTGTGTATGTTATATTCCTAATATTTGTAACTGCATCATTTATGCCAGGCAAATACACTGATGCTGATTTTTTTCTACTTTTGGAAAAACACTGAAGAGTGACTTTTTGTGTGTTATTATTAAGCAAATTAACTCATGACAGCAAACATCTTATGAGTTGGATAAAAGGCAGAGTATGTTCCAATGAAAAAGCTTATAATGACTCTTTTGCTCCTTCACAGCTGCGGTCACCCAGTGATCTCTTCATGTGGTCCAGAGTCACGGCTCAGCACAGACATTTGTGTCGTTTGCTTGGTCTTCCTTTTTGGGTTTGGACTCCAATGTTGAGCCAAGGTCAGCCCCGGTTCTGCAGAGAAGATGTTCTGGTACAGGCTGAGCATCGCCGTCGCCTCATCAGTGCCACTAAAAGTGACTGCAACACATAAGAGGAACTGTGATTGACTTTGTGGCTGGAAAAAAAAAGCTCTTAACCCCTCTTCCATTTTTTACATTCACATCCACAAACTGTGGATTTCTGCACTTTCCAACAGAGGAAGCTACTGATTATCTTTCTGCACCTCCACATGCACTGTTGTTGCATGATGTGGAGCCAAACAAAGACTCTGACGTCTGTGACGGTAAGCAGACGGGTGTGGTGAAGCCCCTGGAGGGGCCTTAATAACAGCTCCTAGGGTTTGTTTACAGCTCTGCCCAGAGATACGTGTACAGTTATCTTTGTAAACTCAAGGATCTGATGAGTTTTTAAAAGTGAATCACAATGTTGAACTAAATTTATTCTAAAGCTCAATGCAGAGCTTTAGAGTTCAATGTAATCAAAGTTCACTGGAGATGATAGATAAGAGGACGGTTCTCCTGGCGTTAGAAACTCCCAAACTCAGCGACCGCAATATTTTTACACTTTGATCCATTTCAACTGCAGCAAATAAAAAATAAATAAATGAAAAATCCACTGAGGAAGATTTAATGGCTTTAGCTACAAACTGTTCTACTGTTCTAATTCTAGGGTTTGCCTGCAGATTAACGAGGGAACCCGAACTATCACCCAGTCCTCACCAAGGAGCTGCTGCAGAAAGTTTTAGAAAGGTTCTAGTGAACACATCTAGTTGAAATGAGGATCATCTCTGTCACCTGAGGGAAAAGTTTTTGGTTTAGCAGCTGACTGTAGATTTAATCCAACTTAATCCAACTAAAATCTGCTAATAAAATGTCCACTTGTTTCTTTTTAAGGAGCAGAATGATCAGATGCTGCAGACATGTTTTATACCAAATTCATTTATTGATTCCATATGTTTGCTTGTCAGTGTACAAACATCAAAATAATAAAAATATTATAGAGTTTAATGAAAGTTATATCATTTTAGCAGTTTTATTTGTTTTTAAATTAAAGCAATACGTTTGTGTTTAACTGTCTCGTTTTTTGGGGGCCATCTGGTGAAAGTAGCCAGCGATATTTAGTAGCATCTCTGAAAAGAAAACATTTTTTATAGTACAAACCTTAAAACGTTTTAGGCAAATGCATGGTGAAAACTACTGGCTTCTGTTCAGTAATAACTGTGCATATTCCTCTGCTCCTATTACAGCTCACTAAATAAGTGGGCGTAAACAGATGGGTTGGCATGCAGGGAGGATTCCAGCATGTGTTGGGGAAGCTGTTAAGAACCAGTGACCCTGTTTCAGTTTCAGTGTTGGATCGAATTCAAGAAAAAAGGAATGGGTGATGGGTGAAAGGTCCACAGCATCACTTCTCCTCCACCGTACTTAACATTGACCTTAAGAGGCTAATCCAAATATTGGTCCAGATCTGATCTATTGCAGATTTTGATCATTTTGCTGAAGCAGAATATTTTAGTTACAAGTTTGAGTACAGTCAGGAAAATTCCAAATATCTACATTTGTGACCTGCTCCCTGTACGCCATGCTTCTGTCCAACTATATGTCACATTTCTTGTTGTCTTAAAAAAAAAAAAAAAAAAACATTTACAGGAGTCTTATCTGTGGAGATTCTCAGTCATCCAGGTCATGGTTAAGCTTGAAAAAGTTCAGTCTAGGCAACTGGAGGTGACGTTTTCAAGAAGCACTGCATCCCTGTGCACTTTAAACCCAGCAACTCCCTGAGACAAAAATTGGTTCACCCCAAACTCAGGACACCCAGAAAATAAGACCGGCAACGTGGTTTATGCTGTTCAGTGTAGTGAAGAGTGCAAAGATCTGTACATAGGAGGGACCCAGCAACCGTTAGACACCACATGGCTCGACACAGGGGGGGCCAACTCCCCAGGACAAGACTCAGCTGTTCACCTTAGACTTAGACTTAGACTCCTTTATTTGTCATTTTGTATGCACAGAGTGCATACAGAACGAAATTGCGTTACATACAGCTTATGAACATTGCATTGATATTTCAAATGGCACGAGTTATACAAAAAGTGCAGCAGTGGTCAAAGTGTAAACAGTGCAGAGGATAAGAGACAGTGTGCAAATTGCAATGGTTCAGTGCAGATAGGCATTTGTGCAAAAAATGCGTTATTGAGAATAAAAATTAGATGAACTTAAAGGGTTAAAAGTTAAACGTTCAGCAGCATTGATGCCCGAATGTGCAATAGGTGCAGAGTTCGGTTTGTGGATCAAAGGTTCAACAGTCTGATGGCAGTGGGGAAGAAGCTGTTGCAGAACCTGGTGGATCTGCAGCGGATGCTGCGGAACCTCTTCCCAGAGGGCAGCAGGGACAGCAGTCCATGGTGGGGGTGTGAGTAGTCTTTGATGATATTTGATGATATTACGGGCTCGGGACACACTGCTGTGATGAAATATCCTTAATGGAGGGAAAAGGAGCCCCAATGATTCCTTCTGCTGTTCTCACCACCCTCCTCACGTTCTTCCAGTCGGAGGCTCTGCAGCCTCCACACCACACAGTGAGACAGCTGGTCAGAACGCTCTCTATGGTGCTTCTGTAGAAGGTTGTGAGGATGGGTGGGGGCAGGCGGGCCCTCCTCATCCTCCGCAGGAAGTACAAACGCTTCTGTGCCCTCTTCACTAGAGATGAAGTGTTTACAGTCCAGGTGAGGTTGTCCGTGACCTACACCTGAAGGCTGAAGGACATTCGTTTGACCACAACAACGACCATATTCTGGCCAAGGTAGAAAGATGGTTTACAGTAAGTGAGGGGTTAAGGAAGCCATCTTTGTTACCCTGGAAAAAACGTTTCTCAACAGAGGAGCTGGCCTTAGACATAACCTGTCACCTATTTAATAAAGTACTTTTAGGAACAATACCCAGAAGATTCACCTCTAACCTTCCCTCACCTAACACTGCAATGAGTTATGTGACCGAAACCACTCGCACACGAGGGAGTTTTTGACCCATCAGAACCTCCTAACCTCTTTTAGTTATCAGGCTCCTCTCCTGTGGAACCAACTACCAGTTTTGTTCTGTGAGGCAGACACCCTGTCTAAGACTAGGCTTAAAACTTTCCTTTTTGATAAAGCTTAGGCTCAGGTTATCCTGAGCTATCTCTATAGTTTTGCTGCTATAGGCCTAGAGTTCTGGAGGACATAGGGACCCCTATTTCATCATTCTGCTTTTTCTCATAGTAGCTTCACCTCATCTCTTCCTGTTTGGCTTTGACATCATCCTGGAGACAAACATCAGCTGTGCTGCTTCCATCAACACCCTTGTTTATAGATGCTGGAGATCGGCCTGTTTTCCAGTGTAGTCCTGTTTCTCTGACTGTGACTGGCTGCATGTGCTTTCTTCATCCTCTGACATGGGGGCTGGCTTAGAGCTCGTCTGCCTGACTGTGTGTTTCCTGGACGGGGCCGCCTTTTGCAGCTGCTTTTTGTATGTCTGCTTCTGTCTCCTTGAACCCCAGTCGGCCTCAGCAGATGGCCGCTCACACTCAGTCTGGTTCTGCTGGAGGTTTCTTCCTATTAAAAGGGAGTTTTCCCTCTCCATTTTCGCTACAAGCATGCTTAGTGTGAGGGATTGCCTTTGAGTCAATGAGTCGATGCAATCAACTGGTTTTCCTTAGAAAACTTTGAATCAATCTGACCATATGATTTGACTGAACTGTAAAGTACCTTGAGATGACATGTGCTGTGATTTGGCACTATATAAATAAACTGAATTGAAATTAACGACCATTAACACCTCCCAATGCGACCTCCTTGGCCAATCAGTGACAGAGATCAAAGCCAGCTTTTATCCCCTCTAACTCTTTGTTCCACCTACAGTATATTAATCTCACTGCTCCCCACCACTAGTTAGCACTGAAGCCTCTTGAATGAGAGGCAACACGTCTTCTAGAAAACTTCACATCCAGTTGCTTAGACTGAACTTTTTCAAGCTTTACGGGAGTCATTACCTGAAATCTGACTTTTACATGTTTAAAAATTTGTATTGAGCATTAATTAAAACCAGCCGAAAAATCTGAATTGTAAACTGCAACATTGATCTAGAAATAACTAAACGTCTCTTAAATTAATTGTATTTACCCTTAGTTTGAGTAGAAAATAAGATGGTTTGCCAATGCAGTTAGTGTTTACTCTTAAAATAAGTTAAATAATATGAACTTGAAATAAGACAATGCAATTGTTTTTCTTATTTTATAATGTAAACTGTCTTGTTTCATTGGCAAAGTATCTCACTTACCTCCTCAATTCAAGAAAAAAATGCACTTATTTTAAGAAAAAATGACTAGATTTTTATTTTTTGCACTTTTTTTTTTTTTTTTTAATATTGGCCTTCTGATCAAACCAGGAATGTCCACTAGAGTGCACTCTCCAAAAAGCACCATTTTGGTCCTCCTATACCAGCTTCAGTCCAGGAAAGGTGCTAACATTCTCCTACCGGCTGTCAGTGTCACTGCTTGTTCAACTTTTTACCTTTTGTGTAAGAAACCAGGAAACCGTGGTAAGCTGCAAATGTTTCAAACACTAAATCCACATGAAAGGGAATGAAAATGAGTCTGAGCTGTGATTGTTTTTTCCTGAAAATGATTAAACATGAATTTAAAGATGGTCAGGAGGATATTATGGGTTAAACGCCAGGTTATGACTCCTCTATGCCTAGTTGGGTAGAAAATGTTGGAGTAGAAAGTTAAATAAATTAAAAATGAGAAAGGCTGGATGCTTCATGCCATGAATTTATAACTATTTAGGGTGTAGGCTTCTCCAAAATACAATAAACTAACAGCCAGCGTGTGTGAAAACACCTTCAGGCAGGTTCTCATAGAGAAGTTTTAGACCAACCATTAAAACACCCAGTCTACTCTATTTCCTCTCTAACCAAACCCTGCAGAGTCTCACTGATCTGCAGACTGCGTGGGTGTCGATGGTAACCAAACAAACCAACCATTCGCTTCAGGAGTGTACCCGCGTTTTTGTTTTTTAGGTCATCTGTCTCTTCTAGATGGGAATCTCCCCACTTCCCAACCTCGTTGAAACGCATGACCTGATAAGATCATCAGCAGCAGGAAGAAGCGGTAAACACCGACAGCAGAGATTTAGTGTAGATCAGATGGCATCAACGGTTTAATCTGCAGCATCTCAGCATAAAGAACCTGACAGGAACCTGCTGAAATAGCTATTTACCCAATTAGTTATGATCAGAGGAATGAAATACGAGACAGAATCAGCTTATAAACCAGAGCAGATCATTTTTTTCATAAACTTTTAATGAGAAAAAAACAATAAATTACAAGAAATCAGGATAAATAAATACTTAGCTGTTTGAGCGTCACCTTCATTTACAGAGTGCACTGAGGACAGAAACAGCAGTAAGAAAAGTGGACAGAAAAAGTCAAACTGAAGGTCCGGGTGGATCAATTTGGCTGATTTCTTCCTTAGGACAGGTTACGAATATACAAACATATCTGGTCACTGTAACGAACATGAAAAAGTTTAATAATCCAGCATATTTCTTTTGAGATGACAACTGCTAATTTTTTTGCACACTTCCTTTCTCTGGTGGAGAAGCTTTCGGATGTCTTTATGTAATAAAACGGGCCAAATACTGTTTGAAGATTCTCATCGGGTCAATATGACTCCTTTCAACAGTCATTACAGCAGTTTTATCTGGAGTCATAGAGAACAGTCCAAGTACTGATAAGGCTTCTAACGGATCTCTTTACATGTTGAGCTTCTGGGGACTATCTGTGCTGAAGGCGGATTCACTCAGACGGTTACAGAGAGGAACACTGGTGGAAGGTGAGTCCTCTAAAGGAGGTCTGACCGGAGCTGCTCTCACAGCCCCTTCAGGGAGGAGACCTTCTTCTTCCGAGCTGCCAGCATCTCATAGAAGGGGTCTTTGCTGATGGCGGCCCTGCAGGGTGCGAGGAGAAGAAAAATGT